GTTTTGTTTGATTGTAACGTCGGGATGCGCAGTAAATAGAATCGTCCGTGTCCATTACTCCATCAAGTTATTCCTGGTTGAATCGTAGGGCCGAGCTTCCCAAGGCTGAGACTTGGAGGGAACCTCGTAATATTTCTTAAGAAGTTGAGATTGTCCCTTCGTAGGGATCAGTCATCTTCTGTCATCGCAAGAAGCTTCTTTTATCAAGGCAACGAACACCATGGCGCCTCTCAACAGTGGTTCATCCATCTATCACCAAACCAAAGCACTATATTGGCGGGGACTGAACTGAACAAGTCAAGGAGGCATGGCCACAGATATGGAAAGGAATAGAGACTCGTCCATACACTTCGGAGAAGCTAACACTGCCGTCTGGTGGGCAAGTGGAAAGACTTCAGCTACTTCCATCATATTTCGCACCCCAAGATGGCAGCCTTCTAAAGCTATCACCACTCGAGACCGAGGATGCAGTTTTCAGCATCCAAGAGCTGCGCCGCCCGGGTGAAGAACGTATTGTTGGGATGTTGATCATGGTACCAGCAAGCGCCAAAGAAACAGCAGAATTTCGAAACTGGGCCGGCTTATTCGTGCTGGCAGAAACCCGATTCGAACCGCTTCGACGTCTTGAAACCGCGACCAGCGACGACACCAAGGCAAGGGAAGCTGCTCGGCTAATAACGAACGTATTTGAGCAGAAGCTCCAGAATATCGCTCCGAATGACCAATGGATCACTGGAGGTGGCCGGAACTATTTCGAAGACCGCGTTTTCGGCTTCACAGAAAGACAGGCCCGCGTAGAACTCTGCCTGCCAGCTTTCCCATGCAAATCGTCTAATCCACAAAAGACCAACGGCGTATATCCCGACAGGGCCGAGAAGATCGCGCTCGACGTGCTTCGCTCTTTCACTCAGAGTGTGGCTGAGGTATACGAGCCTGGTGCAAAGATCTGGCTCATTAGCGACGGACACGTTTTTTCGGATTGCAGTAAGTGAATTACACCCTCTGGTTACGCAGGAGTGCCCTTACTTGCAATTTTCGTTCTTGTGTGCGCTGACACCTGTCGCAGTTGGCGTAGATGATGACATCGTTGACATGTATGGAGAGAAGCTTAATGAAATGAAACGAGGCGTGCTTGAGGATACGATTGACAATTCATCAATCGAATTTCTATCACTTTGGGACATCTTCTTTGCAAGTCCAGAAGTGACGAGTCTCTTCTCACGCGAATGGATCGAGAACGTCGATGTTCCTCATGTTGTAACCACGGGCCTTACCGAAGAGGCGGAACTTTGTCGCAAGCTCCTGATGTCGACTTGTTCCATCGACCCCAACGTGCTCAATGATCTGATCAAAGGCGGAGACCAATCCTTGGTAGCACTATATCGTGGCTTTGCGAGGTTCATGTTGGAGGACCTCGCTTTTCACCCAGACTGCGCTGGTAAAAGCACCAGCCAGCGCAAGAAGCTTTCCACTAAGGTAGCCGCTGAAATGATCAAGGTTAGTTGGCATGATTCCTTCGTATTTCTTCGGTCCTTGATCTGACTGTGTCTATTAGCGAAATCAAGCGTATTCAAACCTGATCGAACTGCTCTTTCCTTCAACGATACGGCTCTCTATTCACGCGTAAGTCGGAACCCTTTAGACAGCCGAGCAACGACTTCCTGGGAAAACCCAATTTACTGATGCGGAAGTGCTGCAGACATGATAATCGCGGCCCGAAGTTCGGGATCAGGCTGTTCCCCAAACCGAAAGTCCGCGCGATCGAATCCATGACTGCTCGACATGAACCCAAAACAGCCGATCTGCTGCACACGCCCACACCCTGGCATAATTGCATCATTGAGGTTGAAGGTGATCGTACCCTGTACCTAGCAAAATCACGCGTGGCCCAGGATGCTTTAGCCGGCGATGGCTACGAAGGAGCATGGATTGGCGGCGATCAGGAGAGAAGTGGGGAATATTTTCTGCGGGCGAAGCTCTGTGTACCGGACTCATGCGAGAGCCCGATGAGTGCTGGCATTGCAAGTACCCATCGGCAGCTTGTGAAAGTTTGACAAGCGAGTAGATCCGGAATGATAGTTTCTATGTTGGAGGCGTTGGTATGGGGAGTTGTCAGGGGACGCTCATTTAATGTCGTCGCGTTCGTCAGGATTACTTACATAAGAAAGGAAGATAGCTTCAGAATGTGAACAAAACCTTGAAGAGCTTCAGATGCATGGTGGCATGGATTTGATTCTAGGGTAGAATCATTCTCTCCACGCCCTTGAACTGTGATCTGTTCATGGATGGACTTAACTAAGCAATCAGATTTTTGATTGCGGGGTTCCTACCTCCGGCAATATCCGTATGACTAATCGTGGGTCTCATCCTTCCCTCCTGATCATGGCGGAGTGACGTTGAAAATACCGGCGAACGGATCCCATTTGGGATCCTGATGCCTTTCATACTCCATCAGGTTTGCAATATCAGTAGCTTCATCGTCTCCATAGACATGTTGGATGAAGGCAAATGTCACGTCAATGCCAGCACTGATACCCGAAGATGTCCAGATATTCCCATCGACAGTCCACCGTGCATGGCCTTGCCATTTGACCTTAGGACCAAGCGCGACGGTACTTGCCCAGGAACTCTTGTTGGTCGTCGCTCTTCTGCCGTTAAGTATACCAGCTTGAGCTACTAGGCCAGTACCCGTGCACACTGTGATAAGATATTGCAGTTTTGGATAGGTTGTTCTGATGTAGTCAATCATTGCGTTCAAATCCGGCGCTCTGGTTCCGAGACCGCCAGGAATTATGAGAACGTCCAGGTCTGGGGCGTCTTTTATCGTGTGAGTCGGAAGGACGCTTTGGGAGAAACTCGAGTTCCTCGGGTTCATGCCCGGAGCTCGAGGCCGAGTGGTTACTGGATCAAGAGTATTCGAGCTCGATATGAGAGAAAGATTCATCGTGTGATTTCGCGACAATATTTGGAGAGCATCGAGCGGGCCGAATACGTCCAACGTCTCGAAGGCCTGAAACAGGAGCATGCCATAATGCTTTGGTGGCGCTATGGTTTGCACTTCTGTTCAAGACTCAGCCAAAAGCGATGAGGATAGGAAGTCGAGCGAAGATCTAACGGACAAAGGGAAGCTCACCTCGATTGGACTCCGCCATAGCAACAGGACTACTGAATAGTAAGACGAAGGAGAGGATTGCTGCCAAAAGGGCGCTCAGGCTGGAGTGAGAAAGAACAGCCATGGTAGGATTCTGGGAGTTTCACAACCAGGTACCGTTACTAAATATTGTGATCTCTAGTGGCACAGATTTATCATATACCTGAGTCAGATTGGGGGAAAGTCTCAGATCTTGCTCAATATGCGCATTTCTCTGCAGCATCCCGGCAATAAATGCTAATACAGGGTGACAGCAAACGCAGATAGGTGACTGACAAGTCTCTAGCTTCACTTCTGACTTGGGCGATCCGTGACAGTTCTGCTTTCTGTGTTGATATACCTGGTCTTTTTTCCTATTTGGACAAATTCAAGGTGAAATAAGTGCTCATGCCCGCCCAGGTTGTTTTTGAGCAAGTTTTGTTTGGCGCAGCCAAAGATCCACCTGCCCACTCCACATTCACTCTCTGCCCTCTCTCTTGCCTTGGTTCACTATTATAGGTGGCCAAAATGGAAGAGGAACATTAGTCGTCGCTTGTGCAGGTTTTGCTTGTTCTCTTATGCTCGTCGTCCTCAGCACTTTGATAGTTACCACTTGGATACTTCTTAGCCGCCCTTCATCCAGCTCCAACCGCACCATAACTATTCTCCTCTCTTCGCCTTGATTCGAAACCAGATCATCGCAATGGATATGAGCACAATGACCATGTCCTCTACGGGCTCCATGATGATGACCAGCTCCGCTTCTGCAGCAGCTGCTACGAGCACAACGGCCATGCACACCGCAGGAGGTAGTGGCATGGACATGGGCGGCGGCATGGGCCCGAACGCATGCAAGATCTCGGCACGTCGATCCCTTACTTACTACCTACCGCTCATGCTACCGTTGCCTAGAGTCTGATTACTAATGCTCACCCATTTCTCTTTATTCCAGATGTTATGGAATTGGTACACAATCGACTCATGCTTCCTCGCCCGCAGCTGGCACGTACGCTCCGGCGGCGCATTCGCAGGCTCCTGCATCGGCGTTATCCTCCTAGTCATCTCACTCGAGTTGTTACGTCGTGCTCAGCGGGAGTTCGACCGCTATCTGCGGCGTTCTGATGCACAACTGAGCAGTGATAGTGAAGCTGGCGGCGTCAGCGGCAGCAGCGAATCCGGTACGGCTAAAAGCAGCAGCAAGATCAAAGTGGCCGGCTTTGGATCTTCCTCGTCGGCATGGAGCACCACCTTCGCTCCGAAAAAATTGAAGTTGTGGCAGCAAGTCGTCCGCTCTCTGCTGTACATGGTTCAATTTGCGGTCGGCTACTTCATCATGCTGCTGGCTATGTATTACAATGGTAAGTCTCAGCTCATGATCACGCCGCTCACCACGAGTCAGACTACTAATGAAGGCCTTTCCCTGCACGATCTCTAGGCTACATCATCATCTGCATCTTCATCGGCGCTTTCTTGGGTGCAATGATATTCCAATGGGACACGTACGGTGCACGCTGGTGAGTCGATTCTCTCATGAAGCCGTCCGAGGGGCACGTCTCCCGAAAGTTGTGCTAACCATTTGACGATAGTGACCCGGAGCAAAGAGATAGCTGCTGCACTTGAGCAGCAGTGATTTTTCTCAGAATTCTCGAAACCATTCGTCTAGCCCCTCCCAACTGGACAACATCATGACTCTCTGCAGCAAATATGGGCAATTGAGTATCAGGCATTTTGCATTCATTCTCAGCTCGCTTTTGCTTTCTACTTGGCTCCTCTAATCAAATGAGAATCATCCACAACTGTCTCTAGAAGTATTGAAATAGATTACCATAAGCAGAGTCAGCAGCCTCGTGAAACCATCATATCATACTCCATACTTCTCACATCGAACACTCTATCCCATCAGCCACAGCGTACAACCCGCCCATTGAGGCATTCCAATCTATTCGACTCTCTAAATCCGCTTCACCAAATCCTGCTCCCAACCCTTCCCTATTCCTTCAATTTCCTAGCCATCTCCCGAATCTCCTCCCCGAAATCAAACCCACTTTCCGCACCCGGAAACATCATCTGCACCTTCGGCCCACTTGGATCGAGAATGATCATCGAAACCATCATGTTACGCATCACTGCGTCCATGTATTTCTCCTTATTTACCTCCGGCCAGGCGTTTGCTGCTTCGCCTGTCACTACTTGGTCTGAGCGAGCTAAAACAATCCGGGAAGGTCAGCTATGCGTCTGGTTTCTGTAGGCAGGGATAGAGGAAGGGCGGGAAGGTATGAGATGGGGTGGGATGAGACGGAGACGTACGTGGCGCGCCCGGCATGCCCCGCCTTGGGTCCTCGCAGCGCGGATCAGCGAAGGCGATGGAGGGTTTCAGACTCGCCATTGACGGGGGGAGGAGCGGGGCGATGTAGTCGGTGAATGTGCGGCGGGCGAAGTCACCGGTGTGCCAGAGCATTTTGGGGGAGCGTTCCGGTTGGGCTGTGTTGAAGTTGGGGTGGGCGTATATTGTTCTGTTATTGGTGACAAGTCAGTAGGAGGGGAAATGTAATGGGCATTGCTGAACTACTAGTGGAGGATAAAGATGGAGGCGGATGATAAGGAAGTGAGGATGATATTGGGAAAGATGCGCTGGAGAGATGTTTGGAGGGTTTGGCTATTTGGGGAAAGGATGCGATGTTGGCAGAGGGCGACAGACGTCTGAGCATTGTGATAACAGGCAGACAGATGAGAAAGGCAAGATCGAGGAAAAGAGAATACATCTTGCTCAAGGAAAATGTCTGCTCATTTGCTTGGTGAGAGTATACTACTCATTGGGACAAGTGATGAACACTTTACACCCACACCCCTAGACTGGTAGTGATTTTACGCCCTCTTTGAGGGGCTACAAACTTCACTCTGTACACTGCAAGGGAAAACAAGGCCTCTCACCATGTAGCCAAAAATGGATATCAAAAGCACGTTGAAAGCTCTAACATAGATCATATTTAGCCAAACAGGTGACTTACTCAATCAGCTCCCTCGTCTTCCTTGCCAACTCAATCATCTCCTCGGGTGAAGGGTCCTGCATGCCAGGCATGATGATGGCTTTGATTCCTCTTTCTCTGTGTTGGATGCTGGAGGCAATTGAGGTGAGAAAATTTATGGTCAAGTTGACTGTTTGGGGGATGGGATGGCAGTACTCTGTACTGTCTGGGGAGAAACCCTAAACTAATTGGTGTTGAATTGCTGCCAAGCCGCTAGCCCAGTAGTCGTCACATGACCTAGGGCTATGCCGGAACAGGCATAGCGCCACCAGCCACCAGAGTAAGATCGCACTTGAACTTCGGACAGGAGTTGGATACAACTTCTGTACAAGTTACTAGATCAACCAATTGATCGAGTGCAGACATCCATAGATAGCAGAAGCAGTTTTAGCGTTACTTTCAACAATTGGGACTTTACTGTAACTGGTGATAATAGGTATTTTAGATTCAACTAACTACGACTGCTCAAGGGTAATTGGCACATGGTAAGCCAGCGGAAGCGAACAGATATTTGTGGACAAGACTGAGAAACGAATCTAACTCATAGTAACAGAGGTGTGGCCAAGGTATCTTCCCGGAATCAAGAGCCAGTCCTGCGGTGGAGAGCCAGTCCAGCAGTGGAGAGCCAGTCCGGACTGGCTCTCCCCACAAAAAGGTAAATAACGCGTGGTATTATAACGGTCTGTGACCGTGTGGCTAAAAGCACCAACCTCACCAGGGTACGCGCCAACTACGAACTAGTCAAGCTAAGGGAGATTGAGCAGGATCAGGGGTGGCCTTTGCAGAGATCCTGTACGATTAGGTGACCATCGATCACGAACTGTTCGAAGGTTGAGTGAACACCATAGGTAGTGTCGTGGTCAAAGGCGATGAGTCTTAGGAATTGCTTCAACGTGCTAAGTGATCGTGAGGACTTATCCCCTCCGTGCCCGATGCCTCAATTAGCGCGTTTGGTGAAATTTAAGCTCAAATAAGGTCGCTCACAGGACATCGTCTAACCAGCATTCAATGAATATATTATCAGACAAAATCATTTGACAAGTGAGTTAAAGCTTTGCTCTTGAAGACACTTATTCCCGAATATCTATCAAAGGCGTTCGAGCAAGCAAAAGTTGTAGCAACATCGAAATAAGGAGATCGACGACGCTAATTGAGGCATTCTACACCCCTGTTCGGGCATGGAGGGGATAGAGATGTAGCAAAACCACCCCGCTTGGCCGCGCCGGGGAATCACATGATGTCAAGGTGCCAAGTGAGCCGGCGCCGTTACGCGGCCATTACGCGGTGCCAAACCCGATCGGGACGCGGACTCGCTCTCGAGGCTGGGTCTCCTAAAGACGGAGTCCGAAAACATCACGTCTGATGGACGGATGAAGTGCTAAGATTACTATGTGGTAGCTCGTTTACCACATCAAGTTAAACGTCTCGGTCTCTCGGACATTTCTCAATTCATAGCAATTAGCTTGACGAGGATTAATGATCATCTAAGCACGGGAGGCACTTTTGGTCTTCGAATACACGAACGGAATCGCAACAGAGGAACAAATCTTGAGTGCCACTGTACACTTGTGACAATAAATATGTTCAGTTCGACAATTAATGGGGCCCTATTGGCCCAAGAAGCAAAAGGTTGCCAGACTGTTAGCCCACAGTTCAGATCCTCCCAGATTAGAACCTTTTCGCCACCTTTCTTGAAGTCCCAAGAACACCTTATGATGCAGACTCCTGCTTCTGAATACAATTGGTCTCAATCTCTATAGGACCCCCTCCCCGTACTCTCCCTCTTCGGCCGCCCGGATAAATTTGTGTGCTGAGGCATAGGAGGGACATTCATCAGATCATCCAGATAAGTGCTCGGCGCTCTGTTTCCGGTTGTAGTCGATAGATTGAGGCTACTCCTCGAATCACCAGCGCTGAGCCCTGCAGTCGATGGCCGAACATCTGGAGATTCTGGTGGACTAGGATCCAGGTGTCTCGGTGAAGCATGAATTCCCGAATGTGGCCTCAGTCTGGAAGCTCGGTCGCCAGGCTCTCCAAGAGTTGTCATGCCTGCCCCACCTCCAGGTGCTGCATTCGTGGAGGCATAGTAACCGGAAGGAAGATAGCCAGAGTTTCGGCTGCCAGGTGTCTGCATACCCGCCCCAGCCGTTGGTGAGAAGAAGAGATTGCTGTTCTCTCTAGGCTTTGAGCCAGCAGTACCTGTTCGACTGGTCGACACCAGCTTTTCTAGAGACATTGTGGACCCCATGGCTGCGGCTGAACCGTATAGACCAGACTTCCTCTTGTCACTTTTATCGTACGAGTCTCCCACTGCGGTATAGCCTTTGCTGGCGGAGCGACGGACTGAACGGTTGATTGACCATGCTACTAAGCCTCTCCATGCAATGATAACAAGAGCGAAAAATCCTAGTGCAGCGCCAACAGCGATGAAGACAGTACCTTCTGGAAGGTTGGAATGTTGCATATATGGTGCTTTTGCCGTTGGTGGCACTGACGGAGGAGGATAACTATATTGCCCAGAGAGGGTAGGAAGATCGGTAAGTTTGGGAAGGCCTGGGTTGTCGGTTGTGGTTGAGAGGCTCGGTGGTGTGCCGGTTGTTTCCACAGACGACCCAGCGAGGGATGTAAGTGGTGGAAGAGTATTGGAAGCTGTGTCTTCAGTTGACGCGTCTGATTGACTTTCAGAAGCAGATTGGCTTTCAGAAGCAGACTGGCTTTCAGAAGCAGACTCAGAAGCAGACAGAAGCAGACTCAGAAGGTTTGGGTTGGTGCAGCTGAAGAACCTGAATCTGATGCAGGCCCTGATGCAGTAGGGATAGAATTATCAGTTGAGATGGTCAAAGTTGGTAGATCCTGTGCCGCTACCCGCGAGATCCCTATTATTGTAAAAACAGCGAGGAGAAAGAGGACGGATGGCGACATGCGCCCGGATGCGGTGGAGCGCATGATGGAAGTATTGTCCAGCCTCCGCCAGTTTTATCAAACACCTGCACAAGCGACTCGAATCAAATTCTGGATGGCGCCAGTGCTCTAAGTAAACGAGCAAATCCTCCCAGTCTTGTTTATGTCGATGGAACTTTTTCGGCGAAGGATTTGGAAGTTCACTGCCCCTTGCTTGTTTGTTACCCCGATGCACGAGGCTGGTTATGCAGTTTGGAACGGAATCTGTGTCACTCGATATCGACAAAGAATAGTACGAATACAATAGACAGCCGCCGAGGCAGCATTTGATGGCAACGAAGATAATTGTAATGTTGATTTAGGTGGAAGGATAAAGGAGTTGCAGGGAGGAGTATTGGCCTGGTCAGTGTTCCCAGGTACGGGTTGGTCAAGACTAAATTTAAGTTGTCTTAGGAACGGGACTACTCCGTACGGCGACTGTTACAGGCTTAAAGGTCAGTTCAAATTTTCGGATTCCCCGTAACCCTTGCTGATCATTCTATTTCAATCTAACACTACATGTAAATGTGTACGAAGATTTACTTGAATGATTTTGATGTCGGTAAGAGAGTTTCATAAGAGGATGTCCCTAAGAGGATGTCCCTAAGAGGATGTCCCTAAGAGGATGTCCCTAAGAGGATGTCCCTAAGAGGATGTCCCTAAGAGAAAGCCGCTGAGAGGGTGTGCCTAGGAGGACGTCCTAAAGTGATCTTACACCAAAAATCATGCATATTCACGTACTACTACTAGGTAATATTATGCAGATTACCCACAATGTCCAGCGCTATCAACGACTTGATCTGCGTAATCACAACGGGACTTGGTCAAAGATACGGCATGAAAGTCCAGAGGAAAGTCAGGATATCTGCGTAGGCTAGGTGGTTCATTGGTCGACGTGATGCGCGGTCAAAAAAGAACCAAGACAAGGGCGAGACCGAAGCAAGAAAGAAAGTCAAGGGCGATAAGGTGATCCGAGAAATGTAAGATCACAATCAAGAAGTCCTAGGTTGGTACGACTGACTGTCCTCCAGTCCCCAAGTCTGGTCAAGTTTGTTCTTCGCCTACAATCAAAGTCTCGTTCCGCCATACTCGGTCCTCAGGGGTACGAATTTCTTGGGACTCGCCGTCAATCGCAAATTAGAGCTCTTCCCTACCATGATGAACTGTTTGCACGCCGAATGCATCCCTATAAGTACAGACTGTGCATGACGGAGCTCAAGCAGTTGGGACTAAAATACCGCATTGCTTTAAGAATCGCGCGGGACGAAAGTTGGAACGACTGAAGTGTGATCACAAAGGCGTTTACGCCGATGATTGCATCGTCGACAGATTGATGAAACACAAGATATACATTGCTGCAACGAATGATCGAGATTTGAAGCAGAGGATTCGGAAAATACCTGGAGGGGCCAATTATGAGCGTGGTACGGGGCAAATATGTTATTGAGAGGCTGCTGGATACACCAGAGTATTGAGTCAGACATGCATCGTCGGATGAAAAAGACCTTTGGGCTCAGAATCTTTCATTGCTGGACGACATTGAAAGACATTCGCCCGGAATTCAAGAATCACAAACGAGCCTAAGCCGGTGAATTTTCATACGCCAGATTCCTTGATAGCCTGTGGAGAGGCAGACTATACATGTCAAGATCTGCTACTCGGCTCCTACGTGAGTGAGGCTACGGCTGACCAAGGCCCCCCAAGGGAGAAGAGAAGCACGTCGTGTGAATCTCATATCATTGCAGGGACACGCTTTCCTACTCTCCCCCGAAAAAAAGCCGTGAGAGCACGCACCGACATCAATAAATGCACATGAAAACGATCTGTCCTTTGTCCCGGCTTCCCTTGAACACTGCTAGCACCAAACCAAACCAATACCCAAGCGCCACCCCGCTCATCAGTTCGGTTTCTTACCCTCTCCGCGGACGGATGCACAGTCCCCGGCACATCGTCACCAGATCCTGGATACCGATTGATCGCTTGTGGGAAAAAATGGCTCAAACATACATACATGCATGCATGACATCTCCGGGTATACCGTTATATGTGTATCACATCTCGCCGGGATTCAGTTCACTGGCCGGTGTGGGTTAAGGAGTTCTCCACCTCCTTTTCACGGAAATAAATGGGATGAGATGGGATTCAGCACGTCACGGCGGTCTGGAGTAGCTAGCTAGCTAGCTATTTAGTTCGTTAGGGAATAGATATCGTCATCAGATCACTGGCGGTGGCAGCTCGAGGGCTTTCCTGGCTTGGGGGTGGGAGGGGGGAATTAAGGCTATATGGCATGCACACATACATACCAATTCTCATCTTGTCCCTCTTGCCCGTTGCGGCTTTCTTCTTCATAATCATCCATTAACTACGAGCCTTCAATGCTCATCAGGCGGTTAGGCTAATGCATATCCATATTTGCTTTGCTCTGCGCTCATCAACACCATTCCATCCGTTCCGCCATCTCACCGTCCCGTCCCGAACCATCCACCCCGGGTCCTATTTTATCGTACACATTATTGGACCTTCCGCGCAATTCAAGTTGCATTCCAATAAATGCCAAGACGACTATTCCGCCCGTACCCATTCCAACCCCAACCAAGCGCCGGAAAATACCAAACCAAAATGAATCGTGAAGCATACTAACCCACGGATAAAATGAACTCTGTGATAAGACGAACTTGCGGCGGAAGAAAAGGCATAGCCAAGGACTGAGGTATCTGGGATCAGAAAATGAATCTTGGGGCTAAGGCGACCAAATGGGACCAAAACAACCGAAGCAAGACCGATGAACACACTGACAACCAGACCAGCGAACAAAGCAGGGCAAAGCAGAGCAAAGTAAAGCAAGGCAAGGGTATTTATGTTCAAAGTTTGCAAGTAACCAGGGAAAGACATGATGAGGACATGATGATAGTGCTCCTGCCTCAGCCTAGCATCATGTTCAAGGCTGACTGCACTCTATCTTTTCTCAATTCCCATCAGAGCTTGATAGGGGACAAGGGGTTCAAAGCTGGGAGTTTTGACTCGACGCGCACGCGAACTGTGTCAGAGTCGCTGGTTATGGTTGTTGTGGTTGTGGTTGTCGTCGTTGTGCTGGTGTTGCTTTTCGGATCCTCGGTGGAGACGCTGCTCGAATGAGTTCTGTTACCAACGGAGGAGGCATTGTCACTGCTTTTCGTGGTTGCAGGAGCTCTGGGTGCCGGTCGTGGATTATTCTGCCTCTCCTTTCGCAGCAAGTTCGGTGCTTTCTGTTGTTGCTGTTGCTGTTGTTGCTGCTGCTGCTGTTGTGGCGGTTGTTGTGGCGGCTGCTGCTGAGACTGTGGTGGGATGTTAGGATGATGCTGGCTGCTGCCTGAGGAGGAGACAGCGCGTTCATCAGGATCGTAGGATGCGGCCTGCGATTCGGCGTCTTCGCCTTCAGCCTGAACTCGGTATTCTTCCTCAAGAAATTCCTTCTCTGTCCAACACCCCTGCCAGCAGTTCTTCCAATCTTGAACGAGGAATTGAAAGCAGAAACCATCGATTCGTAGACATGGCTGGAAGCAGATACAGAGGTTGCGGTAATCCATCTTGTTCTTGTCCGCAAAAGAATGAAGTAGGCTTAGATGACAGGTGATGGCGAAGAGCAGATAGTAATTGAATGGCGGCAATTTCGAAAGTTCGTCCTTCAGCAACTGTGGAGTCTTGGTGGCCCCCATGCATTGTTCAGCAATCTTGACTTGCACCTGTTTTGGGAAGATCTCATCTGGTAGATCGCGAAGCCATGCCTTGAACATGGATCCGATTGTGTTGATGTCGTACAGCTCAGGTTCGTCGAAGAGGTTGATATCATGCTCAGTGTCAAATCGTCTTTGCCAGTGCTTTACGTCCTTGCCGCTGCCAGGAATTCGATACAGACCCTCCTCTTCACAGCCATTCATATTGAGGTAGCTACAGCCATGTCAGTAAAGCAGATAGTACGGAGGTTATTGAACTTACTCGATGCATCTCCACGGCAACGCAGGCATCCAGAACTCCGTCTTGTCCTTGGACAATTCCAACCTCTTGGCTATCCTGGTTCGCCTAGTCTGTTTGACCAGAGGCAGATTGATGGACGAACATATGTAGTTGTCATCCGTGACCAATTCTCGCTCGTGGTTACTGCCACTTCTTGTGATACGCCCAAGAAATCCTTTGCCAGCCTTTCCCAGCCTATCAGCTGCACCTCTGCCACTCTGATGAAGATTGGAGAGTAAATGTGTGCTAGCGCCTTCTTTGAAAGAATTGGAGTTCGCCAGCGAACCACCAGGTTTGTTGTTACGGGGCGGAAAATTTTCCTGGCTCCTATCCCTGGATAACTGTGGACGATCTGCGGACCTGTTCCTGTGCGCAGAACCAACTGAATCACCAAAAGCACGCTCGCGGTGGTCATTGCGGAGTGGAGCAGTCTTCATTGGTTCGGAAAATTGGGGATCCCTGTTGGAGTTTGCTGTAGACGAACTTAGATCCAGCTTCTTTGGTGCAGATGGCTTGGGTCGGGTTTGGTCATCCGTCTTGATTGATCTAGTTCTATTGAGTATACCGAACCGTGGCTTGGGCTTCTTTGAAGCCACATTTGGTGAGGCGCCCCCTTCTGATGGTTGCGTAGATATGTCAGAACCGGACATCTTGTGATCAGACGACTGGTCTCTTTGCATCTCGGGCGCTTTGACATTCTTCAATAGATCTGAGTTCGAACCTCTGTCCTTCGAAGAGTAGACCCCTCTTTCCTTTGAACTTGTTCGACCTCTTCCATTTGTTCGATCTGTGTCAGCTACTTCCGCTGCGGTTTGGTCAAGTGATTGCAATCGATGGGAGGACTTTGAAGCCATCAGGTTAGAAAAGAACGACCTTGAGGCATCCCGACCATGTTTGGGAGATGCCCTTGGAGGCGAAGGAGGGTATTGTGGTATTGTGGTTACTTTCGGTGAGACTAGTCCATTGTCTCCAGTGCTGCCTTTGCCCGCTTTGTCTGTGCTATTTTGACCCGACGGATTTTCAAATTTTTCTTGGAAGACAGGCGATCCTGGATTCGATCGGGCGGATCTCGATGATCTGGGGCTGAGAGTTGAAGGGCTTATGTGCTGAGTATGGTCGGGTTCTGTCGGGTCGTTGGTTGCATTGAGGTTCAACGCCGGAGGTACTGGTGACTTTGGCATGTTACAGACAAAAACGGTCCCAGCTCTCACAGTGTCGCCAGCAGACGGCCGTGGCCAGGTATGGGGTTGCAGGCAAATTGCTCGGCGTGAAGTAATTTCGTATGCGGCAGTGATCGATCTGGAGTTGGCATACAGCAGTCAGTGATATTCGAACAGGACGGCTCTGCCGTGAAGAGAAATTTCATCAAACCAGTTATATGGGAGTGTGTATAGATTTCTACGGCTTTTATCCACTGGCGTCAATTGTCCCAGCTGAGACAACTACAGGGCCATGGTAGCACGGAAAAAATGAATCATCCTGGGATAGCGTACCTTTTTGAGCAGACAGACCATTAAAGCCGAGACAGGCTGCAGTTTCGTGAGTGGGCTCTTCTTTGACGTGTGGAGTCCTTTGTGTTGATAGTATGAACCCTACCACCGCACGGCACCTGCAGTAGAGAACCACAATGAGGAGAGCAGAGACACATGCGTCGGAGTAACCTCTGACAAAGCGATCCAAGGCAGGGATTAGTTCGGTTCTATTTCTGAGGCATACTTGGGGTAGCACAGCCCAGGTTCGGCCTTTGTTGGAGAGAGGAGAAGTGGTATCGAAGGGTGGACGTGAAGGGTCGGCTTCAGGGCGACCAGGTACCTGACGGCATTCGCAAAAGTATCCAAGAAGACGGACTGACTAGCTTGACAGCCTCGGGGGATTGAAAGATGCTCCAACGAGAATTGAAATGGTAAGAAAGCACTGTTCTGTGGCGGTGAGTTCTGTGTGATCCCCTTATCCTAGTTAGTCGAGACGCTGGTGACAAGTTGTCCGACGCATGCGTGATGTGGTGGGGGTCAGTTGCAGCTGTTTGGGGTCCTCAAGTTGGGGCGCCTATTCAGGTACAAGGGGCTAGTTAAAGCTCGAGGGAGGGGGGACAAGACAATAGTCTGATGCACCTCCTGCTGCGTCGGGTCAATAGATCACGCTGCTACCCATGAGTTCTCGGTTGTCGGCTCGAATGCTCTAGCACTGATTGTGGGACGAAATAGAGATATACTTTAACCTCTGCCGCAGCTGCAGGCGAACATTCTTTGCCTAGACCTTCAGAAGCATCAAACGCATGGCAATGTTTGATGGGTGGTTTGGTGGCAGACCGGCGCTGATACACCCCTGGAATGTAGATCGGAGTCATGGGAGCCAACTTAATGAACTTAGTTATGCAGCAATTATGTGGCACCCCAATCCGCGAGTCAGCCTGCTGATCCAGTGGTGCCAGGTACACCATTCACACTGACGCGCGTATGTCAGAGAAGCTTACATGTTCCTATTATTCACCTCAGCGTTATGATTGACTACTAAGTAAGTTACATCCGTTGCTGCGTTGTCCAGCGCATGTATCGGAACGCTTCTCATACTGATTTAACGTCGACTCACTACTGTCTCTTCTGCCGCATCTCGGTGTGATCCGGCCACCGTTTTTCCCATAGTCCGTGGTGCCTTTGACACGTGGGCTTCGATCATCACAGATGGCTCTTGTGTCCGGTCCAGGCAGGGGGGGTGTGCCTGCTGGTCGTGATCCCGCTCAGGAACCATATCTTGTTACTGAGAAACATGTCAACTATATCAAGAGCTTAGATACCGTGCGTCGACCTGCACCTGGCAAGAAAATATTTCATTGATGATTTGGCCAGAGAAAAGACGAACTGGAGTACTGGCTCACAGAACATCTACGACTAAATGGCGTCTACTGGGGCCTGATAGCTCTCCACCTGCTGGGTCATCCGGACGCTCTTCCTCGTGAGGATATAATCAAATATGTGATGTCCTGTCAATCCGAGAATGGTGGCTTCGGTGCTGCACCAAGGCATGACGCGCATATGCTGTCTACGGTAAGTGCTGTCCAGATTTTGGCCACTGTTGATGCTTTGGATGAACTGGATGAACTGGAAAGTGAAGGCCATGGAGGTAGAATTAAGATTGGAAAATGTAAGTCCGCGTATGTATCACTTGCGGCTCGACTAACCATTCAGATATTGCCGGGTTACAAAACCGGGAAACCGGGACCTTTGCTGGTGATGAGTGGGGGGAGACAGACACTCGATTCCTCTACGGCGCTTTCAACGCATTATCACTTCTGAATCTCATGTACCTGATTGACGTTCACAAAGCGGTGGCGCATGTCCAAGCTTGCCGCAATTTCGATGGTGGCTACGGAGTAGATCCTGAAGCAGAGTCTCATGCTGGCCAGGCATTCACCTGCGTTGGTGCATTGGCGATAGCTGGTCATCTAGATCTTGTTGACCGAGATCGATTGGGGGCTTGGCTCAGTGAAAGACAACTAGAGAATGGCGGGTTAAACGGAAGGCCAGAAAAACTGGAAGATGTCTGTTATAGTTGGTGGGTGTTGAGCAGTCTGGCCATGATCGATCGGCTCCATTGGATTGATGGCAAGAAGCTGAGTGCTTTTATTCTTCGATGTCAAGTTAGTACAAGGGCGTGATTGTACGGTCCAACAACGCTGACCTGTCAGGACTATGAAGGAGGAGGCATCTCAGACAGGCCCGGTGACATGGTTGATGTCTTCCACACCGTTTTTGGGTTGGCCGGTCTGAGTCTTCTGGGTTTCCCAGGACTGGTAGCAGTCGATCCAGTCTAGTATGTGCCTGTCTCCCAAACATCAATCTCATCGTTGCTAACGCGAGACGTGCAGCTGCATGCCGAAGCATGTCATCCAAAGATGCATCCAGAAGTCAAGATAGTGCTCAATGAGAGTCTCATATCCTGGTCGTTTGCCTCGATACCTCTTGCCATCTATTGACTCAGGTCGGGCTTTTGGTAGGCTTTGGGATACAAGCAAGAGGAGATTCAATATGTGGCTGCGCTTCTAGACTCGCTTCAGTAATCAACACTGCAGTACCATGACGGCATAGACCGCAGCTTACAAGCCAAGAAGTCAGTGACGCCAATTTCAAGTTGTAGTAATGATCTTACAAGTCGGAAGAAAATGAAGTGCAAGGTCTTATCATCGTCATCGAGGGTTACCGTCGTTCCTTCTCGTTACCAGAATGAACGGGAGGGCATCAGTATCTTGATGCTTGCTGGTCACGTGTTGTGCTTGCTCACTTCTCATCTCAACCTCACTTTCAATTGCTCTTTCCTGACTGCTCTTCCTTGTACAGTGCGAGTGTCAGTACCAAAAACAAGACTTCCAACTACTCAGTTTCCCAGCTTCACCTTCCATCTTTTCTCCTCTCTGTGGAGGAGAGTGCATTGTGTACAAGTGTTGAGTTTTTGTCCTCTGTAGGGAGAGTTCATCTGTGCTTCAATCATCACTTCCTCATCGTACACCTAAAATTATCTCCGCTCGAGAAGTCGTCTCCAATGGCTTCGACCTTGCTCAAGTGCAGCATCTGCCCCAAGAGACCATCCTTTAGCGATGTCTCCCATCTTCTTACTCATGTTGGCTCGAAAGGTCATTTGTCTCACTTGCACAAACTCCAAGTCCGCAGTCATCAAGAAATTTCGGCCGGCCATGAGCTCGCAACTTATGACAGATGGTACCAGCAACATGGTCTTGGTGAGCTTCTGTCTGAACGCATGCTTCAGAAAGAATCCAAGAAAGGGACCAAAAGAGGCCGGTCTACTACTCAACTTCACATCAAGAACGACCCCGACCAGCAAGATGGTAAAACAAGGATCCCAGCTCCATCCAACCGCCACCCCGCTATGAAGACCCGACAGCTGCATCAAAGTCGCCCAACAAGGAAGCTGCAGTTACCGAGTCTCGATCTTGATACGGATGATAACAGTGATTATGACGAGAGTCCAACAAGGCAGAAAGGGTGAGCACAACTCTCCATTTCTGAGACGTCCGTCGTGTCCTGACAAGTGCGAAGCAGACGTAAAGCTCGTCGGTTTCGCAAAAGTCCAATCAAGCGTTCGTGGTCGCTTGAGCATTCCCATAGCTCAGAGGCCGACTGCCCTGCCATCACAGATCCCATCACTCCAAAAGCGGGCGATGAGAGTCCTAGATTGAAGGGCGTGTTCTGGCATGGTATGAATCTATTCGATGCCGCCACAGAAGAGATGAGGAGAAGGAGGAATCAAAAGAAAGACGGCTCTGCCCTTAAGAGGATGGAGAGGACATCGGAGTTGGTGATGCCCTCTGAAGCTATATACTCACCCGGGGGCACATGGTTGAAGACTCGCGTCATCACCGGCAACGTCGACGAGACAAGCCCGCTCAGAGGAGAGACACCAGTCCCCAAGCCTGCTCGGCGACGTCGACCACCACTTGCAGAGAGGGATAGCAACATTCCCGGGGCACTGAATGGAAAAGGCAAAGGAAGGAAGCGCAAACCCCGTGCCCGAGGACTGAAAGAGATGTCCCAAGAAGCATCACCCTACCTTCCCAGCTCTCCTGTCGCTGGCTTATATCGCCCCGCATCTCGGTTCGCCCCCACCGAGGATGAGAACTTGGAATTCAAGTTGACAGTCGGCAACCTTAAAGACCGGAAGAAGCGTGGTAATTTTGCCATCTTCAACGACGATGGCTATGCTAGAGTCCAGCATCAGTCACAGTCGCTTGTGTCTGATTTGGATGGTACTCGATCACGTCCGCCTCTAGCACAGAGCTACATTCAACCGTCTCCAAATAGGCAGCAGATGCAATTCATGACTACCCCGTGGTTGCAACCACAATATCAGCAGTCAGCTTCGTATCATAGCATGTATACCTCGATTGGCCACCACAGTCTTCACCGCGAGTCTGGCGACGGGCTTGGCATGGGAAAGGAGAACGTGGAACCGAGCTTCGCCGCCACTACCAGTAGTTCCACCGGCTATGCCAAAGCTGCGCCTATGGGTCAAGCACCTGTAAGTGCCCAAGACCATTTTCGCAGCATTCAGGCCCCTAGATTGGGTAGCAGTTTTGGACTAGGTGGACTCAACATGTTTGATGACCCATTTGGCTACTCCGCAAATCCACTGACTGCGGCCTTTCAACAAATGCCGAGCACTATGGAGACACCCTTCTTCACGGGAGCATACCCATACTCGGCTGACGCTGTCGCCGACAACACGAAGGGGGTTATGTCTCCCAATGGAACGGTTTCGGACGGTGATGGACACGAAAACGGCCAAAATCTGTTTGCTACAAGCGAGTAGGAGAGAAGGATAATGAAATCTCTGCTGATGCCAACGGCAGTACTCTTTCTCTGCGCTTTCAGTTGCGAGAGATGACCAAGAAACCTGGTGAAATGAATTGATATACACATCACGGTCGGATGACATCTCTGTTAGGAGGGCCTGATGAGGGGCTCTGAAACAACATCTTTAACAGATTCGGAAGCATGATCCATGTTGCAGATCCTCTTATCCTGATAGTTGTGTACGGTAATTACCTTGCTGGTTGAAGAGCAGGACTAGGTGGGTTGTTGACTTATTTGAGAAAGTACACTTACTACCACTTCTCTTGAGACTTCCTAGGCCTTTCCAAGCCTGAGGAATGAGGTGTAATGCGACGTAGTTCTGGCAGAAAGATCGAGTGATCAAGATGCCCATGAGTTCCTGCTGATGCCTCGAGTAACTTAAAGTGATTTAAGTCGGTTTCTCAAAGCACCTCTCCTATAGTCTCCCGAACGATCCCAGAGAGATGCGAGAGGCCACCAGATTTCTAATGTGTACACGAATTTTGGTACTTGCGTTGGAGACGGTGGGCCGGTGATACGCTTGTAGCCGTATTTGTGGATGATCAACGAGCCCTCCGGCCTGTCTGATATCCCGTATACTTCAGTATTAGATCTAGACGAGATTAGTAACTTAATATCAATACTCCGTAAGGTGTAGATTAATTTGATACGTTGGCAATATACTCATACCAACACTGCCAGTGCATGGCAGGGGACAAGATGCAAGTTCTAGCCAAGCCTGAGGGGTCGCGTCTGCACGCGTGAATTGAACTTTTACTTCAATGACCGGAGACGACTTAATTTAATCGTTGTCTTGTCACTCGACATGGCGAACTTGCAGAAGGCGCAGAAGTCCATATCGAGCTTTTTCACAAAGGCTGCAACCCAGAGAGTGCCTTCGGACGAAAATGCAGCCCTTTCACTTCCGACTGGGCGTCTAAATGGCAACAATGATGACTTTGAGCTTCCAGCAGCAAAACGTGTCCGCAGAAGCTCGCCGACTGGTGGTGCAGAAGTCGACTCTCTTGTTCAAGATCAACCTCTGATTGCCATCTCACCGAACAAGCAAATATCAGCATCAAGAACCTCCAAATTTGTCTTCTCGTCGTCGCCCCAGCAGGAAAATGTTTCTGAATTGGTCTCAGGCGAGGATCTACAACAGAAAGAGAGGTTGCATGAAAGGTTCGTTAAGAAACTTGGAAAGCCAGACAGTATTGCGGACATCAAGCGTCGCAACCGGGCTCTCATGGAAGACGAAGCAGGTGAGGAGGAGGTTGACGAGGAGCCACCAGAAGAAGCGAAGCCTGCACCGAGGGGAAAGAAAGGCGTTGCGGCGAAGAAGGGATCCAGCAAGCTGACACCGATGGAGAAGCAAGTCCTGGAGATCAAAAGAGCACATATGGATACATTGCTAGTGGTTGAGGTTGGCTACAAGTTCCGATTCTTTGGAGAGGATGCTCGGATTGCTGCCAAAGAACTGAGCATTGTTTGTATACCTGGGAAGTTCCGATATGATGAACATCCATCTGAAGCTCACATCGATCGTTTTGCTTCGGCAAGTATCCCTGTTCACAGACTACATGTCCATGTAAAACGACTTGTTGCAGCTGGTCATAAAGTTGGCGTGGTACGGCAACTCGAAACTGCAGCTTTAAAAGCTGCGGGGGACAATCGTAATGCTCCTTTCGTGCGGAAGCTGACGAATCTGTATACAAAGGGTACTTACATTGACGATGTAGAAGGCTTGGAGGAGTCTGGTGCTGGTCCTCCTCCAGCTCCTGCGACTGGCTTTCTACTTTGCTTAACCGAATCCAATGCAAAAGGCTGGGGCAATGACGAGAAAGTCCAAGTCGGCATTGTTGCCGTGCAACCTGCGACAGGAGACATTATCTATGACGACTTCGAGGACGGTTTTATGAGAGCGGAGATTGAGACGAGACTGCTACACATTGCACCTTGTGAGTTCTTGATTGTTGGTGAGCTTTCCAAAGCTACCGACAAGCTTGTACAGCATCTTTCACGCAGCAAGACGAATGTTTTCGGTGATAAGGTGCGTGTGGAGGGAGTCCCTAAGCAGAAAACTATGGCGGCACAAGCATACAGTCACATATCATCTTTCTACGCTGACCGGATGAGAGAGACAAGAGAGGATGGTGGCAAGAGCAGCAATCTGCTGGAGAAGGTTTTGACTTTGCCTGAGAATGTCACAATTTGCTTATCGGCGATGATCACGCACATGCAAGAGTATGGATTGGAACATGTTTTTGATCTTACCAAGTATTTCCAGCCTTTCTCTGCACGATCACACATGCTATTGAATGGCAACACTTTGACCAGCCTCGAGATCTATCAGAATCAGACAGATCACACCATCAAAGGAAGCCTACTCTGGACGTTAGACCATACCTCCACCAAATATGGTCAGCGGTTATTGAGGAAATGGGTCGGTCGACCTCTGCTTGACAAGCCGAAACTTGAAGAACGACTTGGCGCTGTTGAGGAACTACTCGATACCGCGAAGACAGCCAAGGTGGAGCGATTGAAAAGTGTCCTTTCGAAGATGAAGATCGATCTGGAGAAGAGCCTTATCAGGATCTATTACGGAAAATGTACTCGGCCGGAGTTATTGAACGTGCTGCAATCGCTTCAACTCATCGCTTCAGAATTTGCGCATGTCTCCTCGACCACCTCTACAGGCTTCTCATCATCGCTCATATCGTCGGCCATCACTGCACTACCGTCTATATTGTCCGAGGTTGTTGCGTATCTGGACAAAATCAACCTCGAAGCTGCCAGATCAGATGACAAATATGCTTTCTTCCGCGAGGAGCAGGAGACAGATGCTATCTCTGAGCATAAATTTGGCATTGCAAGCGTGGAGCAAGACCTAGATGTCTATCGCACCACGGCAGCTGAGAAGATTGGTAAGAAGAATCCTGTGGAGTATAGTACAGTGGCAGGTATAGAATATCTCATCGAGGTGTCGAACTCTTCGACCCTGCTGAAGAAGGTCCCAGCTTCCTGGATCAAGGTTTCCGGAACCAAAGCGAATTCCCGCTTCCACCCACCGGAAGTCATCAAGTTTGTTCGGGAGCGGGATCAGCACAAAGAGGCGCTTGCTGCTGCCTGTGACGATGCTTTCAGAGATCTTCTGGCTGATATCAGCACGAAGTATCAGCTTTTCCGTGATTGCATACAGAATCTTGCTACGCTTGACTGCCTACTCGCCTTGGCTACGACAGCACAGCAACCAGGCTATTCGAAACCGATCTTCGTGGACGAGAACGTCATACAGGTCGAAGGCGCCAGACATCCTATGGTCGAGCACCTGCTCCTCGACGCATATGTCCCGAACGATATCCAACTCTCTCAAGACTCAACTCGAGCACTGCTTATCACCGGTCCCAACATGGGCGGCAAATCCTCCTACGTCCGTAGCGTGGCACTCATCTGCATCATGGCGCAGATTGGTTGCTATGTGCCCGCCTCGTCTGCCAAACTGGGTCTCCTCGATGCCGTCTTCACTCGCATGGGTGCCTTCGACAACATGCTTAGCGGCGAAAGCACATTCATGGTCGAGCTCTCCGAGACGTCCGATCTCCTCAAACTCGCCACCCCTCGCTCCTTGGTAATCCTCGACGAGCTAGGTCGCGGCACAAGCACCCATGACGGCGTGGCCATTGCGCAGGCTGTGTTGGATTACATAGTAAGAGACTCGAAGGCCTTCACACTGTTCATCACGCATTATCAGACTCTAGCTACAATGGCGGATGGATTCCCAAATAAGGAGTTGAGGAATGTGCATATGCGGTTTGCGGAACAGGAGGGCAGTGATCAGGTTACCTTTCTCTATGAGGTTGGGGAGGGGACCGCCCATAGAAGCTATGGATTGAATGTGGCGAGGTTGGCGAATATTCCTGAGAGAGTTATCGAGGTTGCTGGGGAAATGTCCAGAGAGATGGAGGAGATGATGAGGTTGAAAAAGGTTAAGGCTCTAGCGAGGATTTTGGCTGAGGGCGGGGAGGAGGATAGGCTGGACGCGATTGTCGAGGGGATTGAGCGGCTATAGAGAGACGCCTAGAGTAAGATTGAAGTATGTAGCTCTGTAGAAGATGGTTAGGCGCAAGATGAAGGAGTTTAGCTGTTGCTCCTTGTAATCTATGGGTCAGAGTCATGTGCTCTCAGCTAGCTGGACTCTGAGTTCTCCTAAACTCGTTTTCTTCCCTCTTCCCAGTAAAGCTTCTCACAATCCTGTGCAGGTCTACGCTTTAGTGGCTTGGTTCTGGTTACCTTGGCCAGACAAGAACAGGAGGGCGTGGCCTGATCTCATGTGTGCTATGCCGAGAATCTTTCCCAGTGAGGCGGACACTTTCTCGTCTTTCTGTGCCAAAATCACGGCGGGTGATTCCTCGATGCCATATAACCTCGCTCTCTTTTCCCGCCCGGCTGTCATCGTTATTTGCGTGATTTCCGAGTCGTCAACCATGAGCCTTCCTCTCCAACCTGTCATGTCCTTGCTTGCTTCCCGCCTCTTCTCGCATTACTCCTCTCCCTCCTCTCCTGCCTCCTAATCCTCTCCATCCTCTCCCTCTTCCCCTCCATCCTCACGTTCCTGCCTTCCGGCTGCCCATGTTTCTCCTCACTCTTAAGCTTCTTCTCGTCCAACTCCACCAACCAATCGTTTCCCTCGCCTTCCTTGTTCTTTCCCTTATATCCCCACTTCTTGACCCACTCCCCACTCTCCTCATCATACACCATATTTTTCCGCCTATCCTCGAGCTTTGCGCCCCCCGAGGCGGCTCCCGCAAATTTGCCAATGCCCTTTCTACGCGCGAAGGCTTCCCATTTTGTGGGAGGTTTAGGTTTGGGGAGGGGCTTCCACCGTGGTAATTGAGTTGTGGTAGGTGGGAGGGAGAGAGTCAGACCATCTAGGCTGGAAGTGATGGGGCGGGTGGAGAGGAGCTCGTTTAGCAGGGATTGGGCGCCGTCGCGGGCGGTGGATCTAAGGAGTTCGTTTCGATTGGTGATGTCAGAGGTTGATGGGAAAGGGTTCGGGTCAGTGGCGAGGAGGTGGCCAAGGTCAAAGGTATATGGTGTAGGTTTTGAGACGGTTACTGGTTGGCGGTCTGGTTTTGATACAGCTGGAACTAAAGTACTCTGTGGAGGAGCTTCCGACATAGTCGTGTCTGCTATTGTAAGCGTCGCCATCTGATGGATGTGGTCCTTGGTCTTGGTTACGACACCTTTGATAGTGGTAATAATTCTGAAAGAGTATCGAGGTCAATCCTCGGTTCGGAGTACAGTAAACTTTGGAACAATTATGGCTTATGTAACACAGCTAGCCCTGAGCTTCGAATCTACCCTGATTCTGATACATATGTATGTATGTATGTATGTATGTATGTATGTACGGAGTAGATTCGATTGCTATCGACTACTTCCCATCGGGCGTCGCTGGGCATCGTGCCAGCCATGTCGCTTTCCATCTGCACAGAATGTCTTGCACGCCTATGCATCACCCAAAGGGCGCCATCACTCCCATCTAGAACTTTCTCCACCACAAACGCCCAAGCTGGATCGCCCACATCTCGAAAGATTAAATCAACTAAAGCACCATACCGATCATCTCTCACTTTCAATCGCAATCGGAGACCTCGTGTAGTTCCCAAACTACCTATGATTGGTGAGCGAAAAGCTCTGCGCAAACGCATCGTCATCAGCAACACGAATGCACTTGAGGTTCAAGGGTTGCGGGACTTGAATGTGAAGAATATGGTGGATGAGACTCAAATTGGACAGATGCTCGCGTTGAATGAAGAGCTACTGGATCATTTGAGGGACGTGAGGGCGTTTAAGCCGACGCAGAATTGGAATATGTTTCGGAAGCCCAGCACCTTGATGAGGAGGGAGAGCGTGGAGATGGGAAGGACCATACTGGATGTCAGTGCTGGTCAGGCAGAAGAGAGGCCAAGGACTGTCAGAAGGATCATTGCTGGAGAGCGAGGTACTGGGAAAAGTCTCATGCTGTTGCAGGCGATGAGCATGGCTTTCCTCAATGATTGGGTGGTGATCAATGTGCCAGAGGGTAGGTCAGATGGTTCATTGCTGGTACCCGAACTTACATCTGGCAGGTCAGGAGTATACGATTGCTCATTCTGCCTATGCCCCTATGACTATTAACTCAGCAAGGCAGCTGTCACCCGATCAAGCCGCCCAGACAGCATCAAAGCAATCACAGGGCTCACAGGAAATGATCTACAACCAGCCAACCCTGACCGCTGAGCTATTACAGCGTATTTCTAAGTCAAATGAAAACGTTCTGAAGAGGATCCCGCTGGCGCATGAGTACAAGTTTGGAGATTACGAGCCAAAGAACCTATACTCTCTTGCCGTCGTCGGTGTTGAGGAGACAAGCTTGTCCTGGAAAGTTTGGCAAACATTATGGGAAGAGCTCACATCCCCATCAGAGCGGCGGAGGCCGCCTGTACTGGTTGCAATAGATGGGATCGATCACTGGATGACGCTGAGCAAGTATAGATCTGCAGACTATAAACCAATTCATGCTCACCAGCTTGCGCCAATACGACACTTCGTTGAGATGCTTTTCAACCAAAATGGAGCTGGACAGCTAGCGAATGGAGGAATTGTTCTCGCCGCCACGACTGGTTCGAACGCTCCGTCGGTACCTGCTTTTGAACTTCTGCTGAAGCAGCTAGACGCACGCGCGAGAGGACTAAAGATGGGAGACAATGAATTTCCCATGCCTCAGCCATACAAGACAGTGGATCAGAGGGTGCTCAATCTCCTCGAAGGAAGTGCTGAGCTGAATGTTCAAAGATTGAAGGGCTTGGAGAAGGATGTGGAAGCGAAGGGCCTGCTGGAGTACTTTGCGAGGAGCGGCGTCTTCAGGGAGGTGGTGAGTGAGAGGACAGTAGCTGAAAAGTGGTCCTTGGCTGGCGGTGGAGTGATTGGAGAGCTGGCGAGGTTCGGATCGAGGTTAAGAGTTTGAGATGAGGAGGTTGGTCAATGGGAAGTATTCGTATTCACTCCGTACACCCTGCTGTATACCATACATACTACGTAGTAGTGCCATCCAAAGTCGCTCGAGTGTGTCACTGCACCGCGGCGCCGCCTTGTTCTTGCCAAGACTTCCTCACAATTTCTCCAACAACTCTTGTGTGGTCGTCTGAAAGGGTGATGCTCTATTCATGCATCAGTCATATTCATGATGTCCCTAATGTCGGACCATGGTATCTTGCTCTTTGACGGCTCAGACAGGCTGTCAAAGACGCTTGTACAACACCTGCAGCGCATGTCAAAGCCAAAACCTATCCTCGATAAGGGATCCTCGCGATCCTCGTTCACCTCACGCTTCTGCCGTCCCTGAAAGAACTCACAAGCTCAGAATTAATAGAATAGCTTCTAATATCCTTTGTCGTGCTCGCCCAAACAGTGGCCAGCGCTCTCGTCGATGTCTAGTTTCCTCAAAATGGCTAACGACTGTCTTTCCGTCGGGACTCTTGAGTCCAATCGGTCCACGTTCTATGCCACACCTAGAACGACAACAATTCTCACGTCCTTACGCCACTCAGCGGAAGAGCACGTCGGTTCCGCAAAAGCCCTCCTCGAGACCCAGTACCATTATGGCAGTGCCCCCCAAACCCATATCGAAACCAAGCACCATTGTCGCCGGACGGCCGCCCAGGGACAAAGCGACCGTCCGGCCAACAACCGATACGGAGAGCTTATTCAGAAGAGAGCTCGGTTTGAGAAGTGAATTGGACAGAGCACCGAACCCCGTACAGACGGGCATATATAAGGATATTCAGGTGAACTTACATCGTGCACAGAAGGCCCGTGCCTTACAGGAACTTCGTCACCAGGGGAGTAATGCGGTGGCTGACACCGCGAAATACGTACGGGGGATAGGAGCTTCCGAGCAAAGAATACGAAACAAGGACAAAGTAGATCGCAACTTGCTGGCTGATCGTGGGGGACGTCACCAACTGCTTCTGCGTAAGACGGAGCAGACGAATCACGATTACAACTCGAAAGCGCCGCAAGCCATTGCCGATAACCATGATCAAGTCGCAAGGGCAAACTGGGACCTTCTTCCAGAAATTAAGCGAGCAAGCGGGGACGTTAGCCGCAGTCTTGTTGCTGTCACCACTGAACTTAGCAGACTACTACAGTGGTCATGTCAAAGACTTGATGAAGAAATGAGGATTCTCAAACCCAAAGTGCTCGAAGAAGCCGAGACAAGACGCGTCATGAAAGCTAAAAAAGAAGACAGTGAACATGCGGAAGCATTCTCTCAAAGAGAGGCACGCCGGGAGGCCTGGTGGGCTCATATCGAGGACACAGTAATCTTGGAAAACGACAAGGTCAGAACGCTTGCTGACATATGTTCGGGCCTCAGCCTCCTTCATAGCAGCTATAAGAGTCTATACGAAAAGCTTTCCAAGTCACTTTCTTGGTATTACTATAGTGATAGCAGCACAAGTCGCGCCAAAGAGTTACGGTCTCTGTTTTACGCAACTCTGATGAACATGATTGAGGGAAATAGATACCTCATCCTTGAAGCCCATTTCCTTCGATACTATCAGAGGAATCGCTATTACGACTGTGAGCCCGGCGCTTTCAGTCATAGAGTTCGTCATGCTTCTCTGTACAGGGTCGCCCGTATGTTTAAGATTTCGGCAGAGATTCTGAGGTTGTACGCCGTAAGCTGGACCCACATCTTCCCCAGGCGGCGAATTTCTAGATTGGAACTTCCAGACGCTGTCTATGAAAACCGACCTGTGGATCTGTCTTTCATCATCCAGAAAAACGCAGCAGTTAGCACTAAGCTTACTAGGCAATTCTCTTTCGGCTTGTTATCCAATGACCACGATCCAGCGATACAGGTTCGGCGAGCCCAAGCGGCAGCATTGATGCCATTTCACGTGGTCATTGGGGGGATGAACAGCTTGATAAACGAATTTTATTCGAAGAATGAGACTATAGATCCGGGGAAATATGAGCAGCGATTGGGTTTCGAGACGAGACAGCTTCGGCTGCTCGTAGATTTGTTTACAATCTGCAATTGGAGATCTCTCCAGCACCGTGTCTCTACCCGCACCATTTTCCTGAAACCATCAAGTCAGTCAGATGCTTTGTTCTCTCCTATCCAATTTGGGGTACCGTTGGGATACCCTAGATCCCGGTCCTGGAATTACAACGACTATAGGGGGCCCCAGGGTGAGAAGGTAACGGTATTCTGTGCTCGCGAGAGCACAAGCATGGAATCGTGTTTGGCGCAGCTGCAGCATGAGGGGGTCGTTTCGGTTGATGTGCGATGGGCGCCGGACAGGGAGAAATCTTCAGACGCGCTTCACGACTGGTTTGGTCACAATGTTTCTGTCGTTACCTTGGCCACCGAGTCTCAAATTGTCGTATGCCATTTGGCCCTGCTGACCCGGTACCTGAGCATTCCCGTCTCGCTGAGACTACTTCTAGAGGATCCTAATATCATCAAAGTCGCGATCAATATTGACGAGCTTCAGACACGGTTTGAGAAATATTTAGGGATCCATATGACAGGAACTTGTAACCTTACATCGTTAGATGCATCTTTCCACTCCACCTTATTGGAAGGAGCACCCCATCATGGAATAAGGACAATAGCGGACCTGGTGAAGAAGCATTTCAACATGGAGCTATGCGGGCTCCGACAGTCAACAAAAATTTGGCTTTATTCATTCTCTCTTCGTGAACTCCAATGTGAGAAATTCCCGTTACGAGCAAAACATCTACTAACCAGCCACAGGTGTCTGTTCAGGGGCTTATGCGTGCTTACGCTTGTTCTTTCATCTGTCGGAAAAGATGTTTGACAGGAAAACTGAGCAACTCATTCCTCTCAATGGATGTAGTGGCAGGACGGTACAGAATCTTGCTTTGCTCTTTCCGGCCGCTACAAGAGGTATCAACAAAATTTCGTCCGAAAGGGTAGAGCCATCTGCTACAGAAAAGACTCATCAACATGCTACCTCAGTTATCCAACTTCCGTATGAGGAGACTGGTACAATTAAAGTCTCTCGACAACGCATTGGTTACCAAGATCTCGTAGGAAAATGGGCTGCTCAGCTTGCGCGTGAGCTCATTAAGACACGACGAAGCTCAAACTTCCAGCAATCCTCTCTTCGTTTATATTACCTTTGGCACACATTCGAATTGCAATGTGACGACATTGATATCTACTTCCCACAGCCTCATGCGAACGTCCCTGCAGCGATTTTGGAGGTGATTGAGAGCGCCGGTCTCCCATATCATCCCGAGTCATTCAAAACTCTACAGAAGATGGCGTTAGTACAATTTTATGCTGGCCAGAAGATTTGGCTTCTCGAGGAAGCCTGGATGCATTCCTGGATGCAAGACTTGTCGCCAGCAGATCTGAGCCAACGGATTAGTGACTTGATGGCTGTTATACATGGAAAGAGAACAGCTGAAAACTGGATTGATGTTGCAGCAAGAAGCTATCATTCTCAAACAACTCAAAACCCACACCAAGATCTTCTACCATTTGCCATGTGGCACATTGGTGATGTGTCTGTACATAACATCAGTAATTTGCTTCTGCGATCGAGGTCCAGCATCGCAGAATCAATTCTCAATGAGGTGCTACAGTCAAAATCTCGAGCAGGTTCCATGCAATTGGGTCTGGAAGATATCGCTGAGATGACGGGCGATCCACCCTTGTGGATGAAACGGCTCAACCTGATGTCGAAGCGGGATTAGCGGGTGGAACTTCAGCCTCAGAAATGGGCAGAGAAAGAGGTCACCGGCACCAGGGAAAACCCGGCTCAAGCATCAGAATATTCGTCCGTGGGTGTTTCAGCATCCCTCCCATCCGGAGAAAGTCTCCCGTCAAAGGCTACAGACCCATCGGTCCGCAAGATGCTCCACTTCTCCAAGCGAGTTGACTAGCGCAACGATGTGTTAGCAGAGTACAATCGAAATTAGCAGACACGCCGTTAGGAAGTGTTGACCCAAGGGAGGCTCGAGGCAAGCTCATCGATATGCCTAAGTTAGGCGCGTCACCCTCATCGTCTGATTTGCCGAACAAGGAGCCTCGGAACCCTCTGCTGCAGAGCAAAATTCAAGAGCACCAAAGGCGCCCGAGAGAAACACTGAAAAGTTTGTGCAGAGACCTTTATCAATAAGCACGCGAATCCAAACTCAGGAGCTGATTTACAGGCCCCTGCGATCCATCAGATCGTCAAGCATCCCAGGGACGATTCAAAGGCCTATGTTTGATTATTTATCGTCAGTCATCGAGTGTGTGAAGGCGAAAAAGAGAACCGGGAACCCAGCCAACGTGCATCAGATGAAGAAGCAGGACAAGACAGAGAAGCAGAGCGGGACGAGGAAGCAGGACCGGATGAAGAAGCAGGACCGGATGAAGAAGCATGCCGGGGTGGCGAAGCAGGAAGGGAAGAACGAAATGCCCGAAAGGCTTGCCGCGGCGGTGTGTGAGACGAACAGCATTTTGATCTTGCCACGAGCGAGATAGAAAGGAAAAGGAGTGGCATGTTTGCTCAGGGTGATCTAACTCAGCCACAACGATTGGACTGACCTGCTTTCAATGCGCTCGCACCCTCGTATCGTCGGCAGAGTCGCGGCGCCGAACAAAGAACAAAAGCGCCGCCCGGCTTGGGGATGGCATGGCAGCAGCGTTACACGGAACTCACAAATGACCAGGAGGTCGTGGCCTTCGGGATGCGGGGTGGACGATTGCATTCTTCCTTTTTTTCTCTCTTCTACACACCCCAAAATCATGGTTGGATATGGGCGTGGGGATGCAACTTGACGGGGCTTGTTGTTGCGAATTTCGGTTCGTTTGGGTTTGTCGTTGTTATTATTGTACAGGACAGGATGGTATGGTACACTAGGAACTACTGCATCCTTTATGATAGATAGGTACTGCTATCAATGGAGATGGAGATGGAGAAGGGGAATGTCTTGGGGCAGACGACTCATGGGAGATCTGCGTATTATATCATGTGTGAACATCATTGGCAAGAGTATTCCGGGTTATGTGTGTACTGCTTCTATATACATGTTGCACACTGCTCGAACAAGCCCCCATATCCGCACAATTTCATTGCAACAGCATCTTGCAGCTCTGCAGTATATGCTGCACCGGCTTCCTCTCTAGTCTCGTCGAGGGGCTTTGCTTCCTCTCTGCAGTCTTTTGGCTTCGCCGTCCCAATATGACTAGCGTAGCTGGCTGCTGCCCGTCCGGCCCGAACTCAAAAGGCATCATCGTATGCAGCAGCAGGAATTGCTCAAGTACTACTTCTGCCCCCAGGAAGAACGTGGTAAGGTTTTTGCCAACTGGGCTGCTTTGCTTTTCGCCTCGCCGAGTCAGCCTTACTGGGTTATAGGAGTGAGCTAGAGCTCGTTGATTGCGGGTGCTGGAAATAGGGGTTTGCAGTGCCTGGAATCCTAAATTTGAAAGATGTGGCTAGACATTGCCTGGAGAAGGAACAGGTCGTCCTGAATTCAGGAATTGATGATGTGTATGTTCTTCGTTGAAGCCGGATCAAAAGAGATGTCATTACGATTTATCGCTGTTTGGCGGGCTGTGGGAGTCAGCTCGTTCTGGGCAGTATGACCAGGTCTATAGGGGTTATATCTCTCTCCCCATGGCACATGCGGTATATGCTTGCCTCTTCCTGATTTATGGAGACAAGAAATAACAGATGACATACCCTGTTGCTGGACCGTCCAGGGTTGAAGGATCAAGTGCGGTCGATTTAGAGTTCAGAATTACTTTGATGGCAGCTCGTGATAAGTCTAGCAATTGAGGGCTAGCAAATCATCCGGCACTTCAGAGAATTTGGTATCAAATCAATATCTCTTTAAAATCTCAACTTCTCAATGGTAGAACCTTTTGGGGCAAAATGGCCTGTCTGCAAAGAGGACATTCTGCCTTTTCTCTTACCCAGTCTTGAATACAAGTCCAGCAGAAGACGTGTCCACATGTGGTCACGCTTGGGTCTCGGAATGGCTCAAGACAGAGCGTGCATTTGCTCTGTTGGCCCGCTGGGATCCATGACATGGTGTTTGGTTTTGATAGGTCGTAACGTGGTTGGTCGAGCATGGGTGTCTGTGTTGTCTGTGGAAGACCTTTGGGGAGACTTTGCGGTGTAAAGGTTCCTTCTAGTGTAGATCTGGCGGGTATCTTGACCTCTTTGTTAGAGATTATGGCGCTTGCAGAATCTGCATCCGCTCTTTGCTCAGGAGCGTTCTCCAACAAGGTCTGTTGTACATGCAAGATCGATTGGACGACCATTTGCAAGACAAGTAGCAGTCCTAGTACCTCGTATCCGACACGTTGTTCGTCTGGCTGTATTCGCCGTGTAAAGATGTAGCGCAGACCAAAAAGTCTCTTGGACAAATGGTAATATGAACCAGTGAAATAGAACGTCGCCAAACTCCAGGCATAGATCAGACTCGGCGACGTGAGGGAGTCTAGATGCTTCAGAGCATATTCCTGAAATCGCAAAGCCCGTGACTCTGACGCTTGTGCTTTCTGCTTTCCTCGCTCAATAACCCGCTCCAGCTTCGTCCTAAGCCTCCGTCTCAACACTGGTAACGTCTTCGCAAGAAGCCATGGTGTGAAGACCACACTTGCAATGTAACCAACCCTCCTTGACAAACTCACTAAGCGAAGCGTGTCGTCTTCAACTTGGATCACATCGCAGTACTCCTCTCCTAAGGTGCGGTTTCCGAGCAAAGTTGTCAAACATAGGTAGAGAAGCTCAGTGAGATGGTTAATAGTACCCGTGTGGCGATGGGTAAAGCGTACCCCGAGTAAGGAACGTAGTATCGAGGAGGCTTGTGCCGAGAGCGTGCTGGTGAGGTATGCATCTTTCTCGTGGGTTCGTAGTATGTCTGGAGAAGTAGCAAATGGATAGTCATATGTTCTGATCCTATTAGGCTGCTGGGTGTTTCCGTTCTCCATGGTAGTCAGGATGGTGGAATTCTGCTTGACTCTAGCCGACAGTAAATCTTAAGTCCACCTCGAGGACTTGAACGAGGCCGATTTCAAAAGACAAGATGTAATGCGAGAACAGACCTCGGCAAGTTGCACTAGTAGCCGCTCCGATCACCGTAGCAAACGCCAAGCATTTACATGAGGTCCTCGAGTCGCTGCGACGACAAAATGTCAAGGTGGTTATCACGCGACATCTAGTCGAATCGAGATCTTCCTCACTCAGTCACTCCTTTGAGCACATACCCGCTGCCATTTGCTCTTCCGAGCTCTTCTGCGCAATGTGGAGAATATCAACAGAATGGATGCTGGAGCAGATGTAAGGGCTGAATTGGATGCGTTCAGTCGGTTTCTACCTCTGCCTTACCGCGTGGCCATTATTCTCGTTGCAGGTAAGCCATACAGAGGCTGTCTTCTAGGATAGATCACTGAATCAGGCAGGCGTCTGGGCTTGGGGTCTCAACCTGCAATATTTAGATTTTATAAGTATTGTATGGTGCCCGGTCATATCTCCTCAAGTGAACTATACTAACCACCTCCTAGGATGTACCTGCTCTGATAAAATTCCCAACGCGTCAACCGGCCAGTTATGTCCCATATCACGCCTCAACCTACCGATTCGCTGCTTTCCTTACCATACCACTCGCTATCTCGTTGCTCCTTTTCTGGATGATCACGCATGGTTCATCCGAAGCTGTAGCATCGTGGGAGATACTACCAGCCATGTACCTTCTGCTATTGGTGGTTTGCTTTGTACTGCCCCATGTAAGACTGTCACGCAGCGGAAGGTATCGCTTTTTGTCCACGCTGAAACGGGTCAGCGTTGGGGGATTGGCTGAAGCTCAGGATGGGAAATTCGGTGATATTCTTCTTTCGGATGTTCTGACGAGCTATGCCAAAGTCCTTGGCGACCTCGCCGCTTGCGCATGCATGTTGATTTCGAAGGGCGTTTCAAGCACAGGCATGCCCAATCGAGGTTGTGGAGGTTCTTTCATGGTTCCATTCATTATCAGCATTCCTAGCATCATTCGCTTGAGGCAGTGCCTGACAGAGTTCCTACGCGCCCGGAAACAACGTCAGGGATTGAGTGGCTCGGGAGGTCAGCACCTCGGCAATGCGCTAAAGTACGCCAGCGCCTTTCCTGTTATCGCTCTGAGCGCACTGCAACGAGGTTATGACCCGGCCAAGATCAACATGAGCGAGGCTGGCCTATTCAGGCTTTGGTATGAAGGTTTTCAAATATCTTCTGAGCCATCTGACTTTTCTTAGGATGTTTTGCGTGTTCTTGAACTCCTTCTATTCATTCTATTGGGACGTCTCCAAAGACTGGGATCTAAGCCTTTTCTCATCATCCTCAAAACGGAAAGATCCTGAGCATCCATATGGGCTTCGTAAGCATCGGTTCTTTCCCTCGGACAAGATGTATTATGCAGCAATCGTCGTGGATTTCCTCCTCAGATGCACGTGGAGTTTCAAGCTTTCGCCACATTTAGATCACTTTAATGACTTGGAAGGTGGAATATTCACGATGGAGATTTTGGAAGTTGTGAGAAGGTGGATGTGGATATTCCTCCGTGCTGAGACCGAATGGGGTGAGTCGAGCCTCCTTCAAGGTGTATTCCCGATACGATATGCTAATTTGGCAAAGTACGAACCCACTTTGGGCCTCCACCCGACGATATCTTGCTTGGAGACTTTGGTAATAAAATAGATGAGGATTGAGCAGGCATTGCATATTTCATCCTCGAATCGAGTGTGGCGCAGTCTTCCACGCCAAAGTTCTGCAAGAGCAAAGCAAATCCAGCACGCCCCTTCAATATGCAACTCCGGACTTTCACGGCTATATGCTAATTCTTAATTCATTTTGAGAAAGCTGCCGATCCCGTCATAATTGTTATACGGAGCTCGCAGCCAGGCATTGCTTTGTTATGGTCTGTGACATTTGCAGATCGATTGGCTTCTCTGCCAGCAGCATGTTTAGTTCAAGTCCTATGTGTGATTCACTTACACTCGCCACTTCTGCACTGAACAAGAGCACTTGAAAATGATCAATACCACAGAGCAGCAACAGAAATCTGGACTAGCAGATCATCTCAAGAGCCTATTTGTGGCCAATCAACGTTGCGGGAACGAGAAGATCGTAAAGAAGACATAGCTACTTCAGCTCTACTATGATATAGCAAACTAAAGGTCGAGGCTAGGGGATAAACCAAGCCAACAAAGCTCAAGGCCCTGCACTAGTTCTCAGATGTGAAGCCGAGAAATGAGAACCGAGTGCGAAAATGCGATGACTCCATCTTGCTCTGTCAGACTTGAGAAATCCTGTTTTCCTTGATTTCTCCATGCAAAGCTCGCAACCCTGTACCCACAACACTTATCGCAACAGACTGACAGGGCCAATCTTCATGCAGTGGCTGCTTTCTGTAGCTACGTCTCAATTGCATGATCGAAGAGCTTCGTAAGTACTCCACATTTTCTGCTTGGCTATTCTTAAACAGAATGCATCTCGTTGCGATGATAGATATTTTCACTCAAGATTATTTGGCTTTCTGAAACTGTTACCCCGTCCAAGGTTCTCATCTTACCCTGTGCTAAACACGCATCAGGAAACTTTACATCTTAGACAGACCTTACTTCATTTCATCAGAAGCATCAGGTATCCATCACTTGCTCCAAGATCTTCTAACGATTTGGCTCGCTCAGTCGTACGGAGCAAAAATTGCATGCTAGTCAGGAAGACATGAGAAATCCGATGGATGGATTTTTGGTGGAGAATGACGCCGAGTGTGGTGAACTACCACTGAAACGCCGAAGGACTGACGCTGCCACTTCTCAAGTAGCAGTGGATTTGCCTTCTGTGGATGAGCCCGCTCGTTCAGAATCACGGATAACGTCCCACGATATCTCCCCTGTGGTCTCAAAGCCGCCCCAGCCTGCGAAAAGAAAATATGTTTCCTCTTCGGCAAGAGGTGCAGTTCGAACTGGCCGATCGTCGGCAACAAACTTATTTTCGAGCGACGGCGGCCTTGCAGAAGCGTTCAGAAGTATAACTCCAAACACTACTACCGCCCGCTTAACAGAGTCATCTTTACCCTGCTGGCCATACACTAAGGTTGATGTGGCGAAGCACCTAGGGTTCGAACTTAGTAAAGGGGGAGTTGAGACATGGAAAAAGTGGACTGAGAGCATCATAGTGGCACCGCACTACCAGGCGCTGCAAAAGGTGTACAAGAGGAATTTACCCTATGGAACTGATCCACGGTTTGACTTACTCACTCAATTGGCACGAAAAGAGGGGAGGTACGTCCGATCATGTTCCGGTGTGCCACTCTTAAACTAAAAAAGGTGGTAGACTCAACAACAATGACAAGTGGCTACTATCCGGCCCCTTATCTCGGGCTGTACCTGCCGGACTCGCACGTAGAAAGTTAACACGTGCATCTTGGAGAATTGCAGCCACTCTATACAGGATATATGCGGACAACAGACGAGCATGGAGTCCAGCATCCATAGTTGAACGAGGGGGTACCCCTAGGTGGTATGCTCTGTGGGCGCTCATAAGGTACTTGAGGAGTCAGCACGAGGAGCAAAGGCAGGCAAAAGGGAAGCACGAGTCCTGACAAGTGATAAGGGAGGTCTATCTAAGACAGAAATGGGTACTGGAGATGCAGCCGAACTAGTGCCTTCCCTGGAGAGGTTTACCACAGCCTCATGCGCTTTTGACTCTGCAGCGCGAGTTCTACATCTCGGTACCACACCGGTCACGAACGCATCTAGCACTACAGACCTTAACGTCGCAATCAAAATTACTAATGCGTCGCACTCAAACGATATAACCAGCTACGCCTTAGATCCTTCTAGGCACTCAGAGCCAAAATTTCGACCACCCGTGCAGGATATGATGCTTGTGCGAACACCTTCTCCGTCGCTGTCTTCTAACAAGAAGGGCCTTAACGACCAAGGCACAAGAGAGAGCCATTCTGATACGGCAAGGATTGTAAGAAACCCAGCCCCAGACTTTCCTCTTCCAGGGACTCAAGTCAGCAAGACACCTACAAGTATGGATCCACTGAACAGAATTCAAGACCACATCGCCTTAAAGGTCAACCAGGCCGAAGCCGCAGAGAGATCAGCGCAAGACCAGCTCCAGCAAAGTTCATGCCACCTCAAGAAAGCAAAAGAAGACGCCCAGGCCCTGCAATCTCGGGCCAAGTTGGCCCAAAAGGAGCTGGAGAAAGCTGAAGGATGGCAGGCAATCTGGAAAATAACGAAAGAAAAGCACACAGCTACAGTCCAGCGCTACCGTGACTCTCAGAAAGATCTGGAGCAATTGGCCAGAATGCACGAAGTACAAGCAGAAGGCCTTCGAGCGTTGAACGTGCCTTCGTCAGAGACGATCCCGGCCGCATCGCTGGATTTGATGGTGAAGGGAGTTGTTGATAAATATCAAGACATCCTCGCGGATGAAAATCTTGCAACTGAAAAGAGCCCGTCTTAATAGTCGTGAATAGCGATGGGCAAAGTTCTTGGCTGTGGAAGTCATTCTCCCAAGCGAGAGCCAAGCTCCGGCATGGTTTGACAGGTCGAGCTCAACATCAAATGTTCCTGTTCTTTCACAACCCAGATTGGCATTCTTTTCTAGCATAATTAGATAGATCATCATGAGCTTAGCAATCAAGACTCTTCCCTCAATTGTAGGTAATGGCCACGGAACATCAGCCTGTCTCTACAAGGCATGCTTCTGCTATATGAGAAAATGGATTGTAATACTATTACCAGGCCTTCAAACAGCTTGAACGCCCAGCAGTGGTCCTGCGTGAAGTAGATCATTCTTCAGAGCGGACCTAACGGTGTTAGGCAAAAATATCATGACTGCATCTCTCTGGGGAATGCATCTTTCTCGCGTGTTGCACTTCAGCCCAGACAGAGACCAGCGCACTTTCGAACCATAATACCCGGTGGTGTCCTGGCAAGTAGTCAGTTAGGCTGCTTTAGTATCCTTGAGCATCACTTCTTCTCACTCGTGGCTCAAGTTTGTTTCAGTTGTTCCTGAACATCAAGTTCTTACTACATTCTTTGAAATTCTGAAGGGTTTCTCCTAAGGCATGACTGCTTTTCTCGGGTCATCAAAGCCAGCCATTAAGGAAGAACAATTCGACGCTCGTCCTAGCTCAACAAACTCTTGGATTGCAAGGCCACCACTCGCCCTTGACATCAACTCAGAAAATCATCACAAGAGGGAATCAAAATCACCTTCCAGTAATTATAAAGATGTTTAGACCTCCTGGTAAATAGCTGACCAGCTTAAGAGATGAGTGACTCAGATGATACGGAACCCCTCTCTCAACTAGCAAGGAGAAGAATACTGTCATCCCGGGCAGCTAAGGCTTCCAATCAGGACACTATTGTTGTGAATGCTGGTAGCAGCTCACTTCATCGGGGACGGACACGCTGAGCAACAAAGAAGACCTTGGAACTATGATCGCGAAACTTAGAGCCGCTATCGATGCTAGGAAGGGAGACTGCAGAAGAAATTTCACAGATGTAGAGTCTGACATTAGTAACATAAGAAACAGTTTGAAGAGACAAGATCATGAGCATCGCAAAATGGAAGCGAGACTGGTACAAAAATCGAGAGGAAATTGAGGTCACTAAGACCGAGCTATCCAGCTTGGAAAAAGAATATGAAAGCTGGGTAGCAACAATATCTGCACGAGAGGGAATGCTAGCACGAGATAGCGAGAAGCTTGGGAAACTGCCAGCAGAACTTCATACGCTTCTTGATGGAGACTGATTTTGAGTCGAAGGAGGCCACCATCGCAGCTATGCTAAGATCATTGTGCCAAGACGTCCGGAGAAAGTACGTGTTTGGTGAAACAGCAATACCAGATACATCCAATATTGGTCTTGCACAGCCTCAGCATATGGACGAGGACACAAAGGCCAAATTGAAAACCGTCTTACACGGATTAAGAAGCCACGATGCGTACCAAGCATTTGCGCATCCAGTGACTGAGGAAATTGCACCAAGATATTTTGAGTACGTCAAGCATCCGATGGATATCTCGGTAATCAGAAAGAAGTTGGAGTCAGACCAATATAATTCGGTTGCAGAATTCATCGCCGATGCCAAATTGATGTTCAACAATTGCCGCACATACAATGACCCAACAGACCCCTACATTGAGGCTGCTGACAGACTCCAGCACAGGATGCAGCAAGGGATGACAAAGCAAGGGTTGAAATGGGATTGACGATTCCAACTTGATGCGCAGTTGGAGGCGAGTTGGCGCATGCTTAAGAGTTGCTTTCTGTACGCAGTTGCTATGAAATGGCCGGAACTGGAGATCATGTAACCCACAGGACTCACTCCATGAAGAGAGACGTATGCAAGCGAAGCTCTCTGTAATGAATGGTTTTGCTGATGAGCTACTCAACGACTTTCGAAGCTTGAGTAAAGCTCCTGAAGAAGGCACCGTTCGAGATGGATGATATGCAACGCTTTTTCTGTTCAACTCTGTTGTACACAGGAAAAGAGGCAGCCTTCCTATGAAACGCTGGCTGATGATAATAAATGAGCCTGAGAATGCAAATGAAAAGTCATACGGAGTAAGTATCCAGCATCCAATTAGGCCTAAATCAGCTACTAAGTGATGCACGTCTTGTAGGTACTTAAAATGTTACTCATAAAGCATAGTTAGCCTCATTTTATAAGCATTATCCTCTAGCCCTAAAAGCCAAAAAGACTCAGGTGACCTAAGACACTAATTATAGCTTGCTAAGACCAAGTTGGCTAGCTTCTTAGCCACATTTTAGTGGCAGTCAACTAACTTTGGACCTACGACTCCGTACTATATGGTAGATACTAAATCTTTAACTAAATCTTGCACTACCCCTGAATTGCCAAGACTTTATATCGTAAATGGTTAGATCAGATTAAGCTCCCCTGCAGGCATATTTTTGCGTCTTTTTTCCCCAAGTGGTAGAGTCTGAATAGTCCAGGGAGCAAATTTGTTGCTCTTCCTCCCCTTCAGCCTTCAAGATGTCGAAGTCACATTCTGAGGCCTCTGATGACTTCGAGTTCATCGAAACACCTGCTGCTCCTACTCCAACGCCACCAACTGAAGATTATGGAGTCCGCACCACTTCTGTGGGTCAATTGGACTTGGTCATCTTGTCCGGATGTTTGAGCAACTAACATTGCAACAGTATCCTGCCATAAAGAATGCACCTCTCCCAGCCGACGCATCAGGCAGCGAGACATTCAACAATACCCTCCTATTCTCTCTGCTGGCAGTCGTCCCCATATACCTAGCTCGTCAGCTCTATGGCGGTTTATGGACCGCCCTTTTTCTTGCGGTCCTCACCACCATCCCGATCTTGATGGCATTCTGGACGATTGCTTCGACAATATCACCTCGCAAGAACGAGAAGGCTCGGTACCCTGGTCGACCCGTACAAGACTATCTGCATTTTCATGATGAGAACGACAGGATAAAGTATCATGGCAAGAATAGGATTCCAATGGAAACGTTCCATGAAATGTACTTTGATGGCAAGGTTGATTTCAAAGGCGATTGCCTCGAACTCATGGAATATCGCCATGACTGGGCAAACTTTCGCTTCACTCTGAGTCTCTTCAAGTTCTTCCTGTTCGGAATGATGCCTGAGTTGATCATGCATTCTCGGTCTCAAGGTGAGTGCCATGCCGCGCCACATATACTGTACCACCAGTTGATCTGTTCTGCATTCACCAGATGAAGAACAAGTTCGAGACCACTATGATCGTGGTGACGATTTCTACGGCTGGTTTCTTGGCCCTCGCATGATATACACTTCTGGGATTATCTCCGACATTAACCGAGAAGAGAGTCTCGAGCAGCTTCAAGACAACAAGCTTGCTGTTGTCTGTGAAAAGATCGGCCTCAAGAGCGGCGAAAAACTGCTTGACATAGGTTGTGGATGGGGCACGCTCGCCAAATATGCTTCTGTAAACTACAATGCCCGGGCCACTGGCATAACACTCGGACGCAACCAGACAGCTTGGGGCAACAACGGCTTACGGAAGGCTGGCATTTCCGAAGATCAAAGCAACATCTTGTGCATGGATTATCGCGACATCCCAGTTCCAGCCGGTGGTTACAACAAGATAACCTGCCTCGAAATGGCTGAGCATGTTGGTGTCCGTCACTTCAGCAGCTTTCTCAACCAAGTATACAACATGCTCGATGACGATGGCGTCTTCTTCCTTCAAATTGCTGGTCTTCGAAAGGCCTGGCAGTACGAGGATCTCATTTGGGGTCTTTTCATGAACAAATACATCTTCCCCGGAGCTGACGCTTCCACCCCGCTTGGTTTCGTTGTGGATAAGCTTGAGGGCGCAGGCTTCGAGGTGAAGGGTGTCGACACTATTGGCGTGCATTACTCGGCTACGTTATGGAGATGGTACAGGAATTGGATGGCAAACCGAGAGAAAGTTGAGGCGAAATATGGCAATCGATGGTTCAGGATCTGGGAGTACTTCTTGGCATATTCCACCATCATCTCTAGACAGGGAAGCGCAACATGTTTCCAGATTACGTTGGTTAAGAACATCAACAGCACGCATAGGGTGGAAGGGATCCCTAGCCAATTTGGTCTGGCTGGCGCTCTCGCAGCTGGGCAGGTCCATAATGCCGGTCACAAAGCGACAGATGTAACTAGCGGGCTGGGTAACAAGGTCAAGGATGCTTTAAGAACGGATTAATGTCCAAGTCATGGATGGCATGCAAGATAGCTTCGGTGTAACAGTAAAATTGATAGACAGGGCGAGAGAAACGTTGCAACTTGTGGGGCCAGAGGAACAAGAGGTTATTCTTGTTGACTTCTGGCCATGAGTTCTGGCTCGTCCTTCAAGGGCATAAACGGCTCTTCTGCTGTCAAGCGACGTTCTGTTATATTGTGACTGGGCGACTCTACTCAGAATGTCTGACTGTCGAAGAAGATGTGTACCGGTAGGTAAAAGAATGTCCTAGACGAGGCAGTAAAAGTATGTTCTCGAAGACAGCAACATGATACTGTGCGATTTTCCTCTCAAAGATTCTTCTTTTCTTCTTTTGGCGAGATCTTCACTGGCGCTGTACGTGAATCATTCGTCTGATCTTTCTCAGAGCATAATCAGTGTCTTGCTGCAGGAAGAATGGCAGAAATTTGTCCTTTCGCTTCCAGTAGGCCTCATTAAGAACATTGCAAGGCTTTCCAACATCGAAACGACCAAAAGTTTGCGTTTGATCAATAATTTAACGCTCCCTTGTGGTTTCCTTCGATATGTCTTCGAGAACTGTTTTGTCGCAGGACGTTGCTAGCGCCGAAACACTACAACTGTGTTCTCGACGATGAAACTCTGTCCAATCTCATGAGGACAGTCATCCTCCGCACTTCCGCCATACCATATGTCTCTCGAGGTGACTTCTACGATTTTCATCCGCAGAACTATCCAAGGGGTATTTGGAAGCAATGTTTCATGTTGGCGGATTCCTAAGGAGGCCTTGGGGGAATTTTTGCGGACCTTGTAGGAGAGGAGGACAACGCCAGGGAAGCCGAGGAGTAGGAGCTTGGATCGGGATGACGAAGTTGTGGAAGGCCAGGGCGATGAGTAAGAAGAGGACGACGTATATGAGACATTAACTGACCTTCGTACATTAACCGTCATGCACAATTAAAGCTCTCCAAGTGCTCACAATAACATGACGCAGCTGAAGAGAAGAGGGGAGCTTTGTATCATCAAAACACGTAAGGTCAACGCCAGGAGCCGTCCCAATCAAGATAACTCTCCTGAGAAGTCCCAATTCAAAGTGCACACTTACATCCCAGAGCATGGGGTTCTGTCGTCTGCAAAGAGAGATCCCGAAGGGGTCATAACTCTGCAAAGGCTGAACATATGACGGCAGTGCAGTTTGAGTCCTTGAGCAGCAGGGCCATTTTCAGGCTTGCAGAATGCATATCCAGCTCAATACCCTTGGTTGCAGTAGCGACCGGGTAGCTACCCGTATGGCAGTCACCGTACCCATTCACGTGCCTGATTTGGGTCAAACCAGATGAAGAACTCCTTAGCGGCGCCACCACTTCTGCGGAGAAGCAGTGGTTGGGGTGCCCTTGTTGTGCAGGAGTATCCAACAAAAGAGATCAGGTACATATGTATCCTGTCAGCTCGATTTGTTCAATCGGCAGACGGAAGATTCCGTGCTTGGAAGCGATTGAATTGAGGAACGGCACTTTTCAGCGTAATTAGCACTACTTAGAGTCTGTCTGTCGGGGAAGAATGCTATTGATAGAGCTATAACCATGATATGGCCGAGGCTCATGGCACTGAAGATGAGACATGGAAATGGGTACCTTGTCACTCTCTGTCCCATTAGTTTTGTCAACACGATGCCACTCGATAACATAGAGTTTGAGGCTACAGGCCCCGCAGTTCAGGGACAGCTGACAGGCACGGGAAGACGGAGAAGCCACCAAGCCAATGCAGTTTCAACTTTTAACCCCTGAACACTGAACAAGGAACAAGGAACCAGGAACAACGTGCAAGACAAGTTCTTTCATCTTCGCTCCCTCTTGCATGCAACGCTCAGGAAAGCAGCGACAGCGACATAGGTTCGACTTGTCCATCATTTTGGCTACCTTACCTTAGCAGAGACCAGGAGATCCTTAGTCTACTATGTCAACCTGCATAGTGATACTGTCTCTTGCCGATTCAATCAAGTCACCGTCTTCATCTCTCTGCCATGTCACACCGAAGTAATGTCCTGCATCCAGTCGCTCTGCATTGTACTTTCAGCCTGTACAACAGCTGAGGGAATCTTTTTCGTCTGTCCGACATAGAGCAACCTGCTTCCCCATCACTTCGATCTAATCATGACCAACCTATATCCTTCACCTCCGACAAGACCTGCGCCTGTGCCTGCTCCCCATGCGAATCCAGTACGGAGTCAAGATGCTTTCAGCACATCTTCACCACCCCACACACCTCGAAACCCACACAGGCGACTCGTGCGATCCCAAACTGGTTACCAAGTGTCTACTCGCACTTCGAAGCGGGAGACGTTTCTGGACGATGTCACACCCGTGGAGGGAGTGAGGGGGAACGATGGTGGAGATGAGAAGGACCCTCACGACTTGGCCTTCTCGCCAAAACATGTGACCCGTGCGTCGGTGGTAGATAACATGCTTATCGCTTTGGATCAGTTTTCCAATCCGACTCCGAGTTCCATTTCCACGCGAGAACCGCCCAACGCAAGCCTGCGCTACAACTCAGTCATCAGACGCCGACGAGGCAACACGTTTTCTTCTGATGTTTCGTCGGACAACGAGTCCAGAATGGACGAGGGCGACGCTCTGCAGTCCTTTCAGCGCAATCAGAGAAGCGGTAGCAATTCGACTTTTCACTTTCCCCGCACTCTACAACCAGTCCCCAGCTTGTGCGAGGAAGAGGAGTCCGCCACTCGAGCTCGTGTCTTCGATCCTCAGAAAGCCTTCGCACCCTCACGAAAACACTACCGAAGGAAGAGTGGGAAGAGCAGCGGATCGTCCAGTATCGATCTTGGCCAGCCCCTATCTTCGAGCAAGTTAGGACGGGCTGGCAATCGTCGATCTCAGAGTTTCGATTTTGGTTCGTACAGGCGAAGTGTTCTGATTCTCGACAACGGCACCAATGGGAGTAGCGCCTCGCACAATCTGGCAAACGAAATGGAAGCAGCACCTACACCCATTGTTCATGCGGGTCCTTCGCGGGGCCAGTCGCCTACGCAGCATATTACAACAGCTCCTCTGCATCCAGTCTATGATCCAGCCCTGGCAGGCGGAAGGAACATGGCAAAGCCGTGCAAGAATCCATACACCCGAAAAGGCAGGGCCGGAACAATGGGAGCTGCGAGTAGCAAAGGCAGGGACGAATTGCGGGACCTACATGGTCACGTTGAGAACCTACCATCCATGCCAACCTACCTTGCCCCACTTCCTCAAAGTCCCACCTTTGCGTTCCACAAGCCATCAATAGGATCATCCGCAGAACTGCCATTGCAGCCGAAGGATAGACCTGGGTTCTTCAGGCGGGTTTTCGGCTCGAAGAATGCAAGTGCGACCCCATTTCAGGTTGTTGGGTCTGAAGATGGTGTCTTTCGGGAACCCATGACGGTTTCACCTACCGAGGAGGTCTTTCGTGCCAGTGCTTCATCGTCCAAGTCGCACAAGCAGTCACCAAAGGACGCAAATTCGACGACGAGCCCTCTGCCCAAAGGACAACAAATGGTTACCAAGAAATCATCTGCTTTTTTCCGTCGCCGAAAGAAGTCTGCCGCTGGCCAGATGCCCACGCCTCTACCCCTTTCATTACAAACGACCACGGTCGAAGCCGCTGAGCCAAGTCCAGTCAGCAGTCTACGTCAAGTCATGAACCCTTACTTGGGCGGTCAACCTCTGCCGTCTCCTAAGTTCGAATCGAGAAAGGAGTCACCTCAGGGCTTCCATACTGCCCGCACGAGCTTTTCCCATCACAACAATGCTTCTCCCAATACTGAGGAGAAGGCGCCAGTTGACTGGAACCGATCTGAGCAGGTAACATCGCAATCTGTGCGTCCTGAGTCTGCAGTCAACCAGGATTTGAAGTTCCGTCAACAGGATCACCAGGACAGCACTTTCCTTGCAGACAGTAGTGGGACGGAGGACTCCCATACTAGGTCGAGTCAACGTACTCCGAGCGAATCGTCCGATGGAAGATCTCGTACGAGTCCGCTCATTAAATCCCAAAGCCAAGGTTCTGAAGGATTGCTACCCGTTAGGTTTCCTTTCACCTCAGCCAACGGGTCAGCGGTTACGACACCATCGTCTGAAATTGGGACTCCGCATTCGCCCTCCTCACAAACCCCTCCGAATTTTACAGGGGCCAACTTTGTGGTGCCATCAACGACCACAAGACCCTCAACTCTCAGACTTCAACCGGAGACGCTAAGCAGCGTACGACGAGGCAGCTCGTCGAAGGACCACGGCGCTAGTCCTGTTACCAATTCTCCTCTGCCATCTGACTCCGAGCCTAGCCTTTACAAGTCCGCTCCCAGTACACCTCTTGCCTCCTTCTTTGAGAATGCTGCTGCCGCTGATGCTTCTCCTACCGTCAATATCACTGGCTCTCCAGAGAACATACAAGCTCCACCACTTTCTGAAGACGATGAGGAGCAAGCTCTCAAGATCTTCGAAAACCGTGACGAAAAACTTGATCCTGGCGAAGTCTCAGCTTGGCTGGGAGATGCAGACGATGGCAGGGAGCGTATACGGATGGCTTACATGAACCTTTTCGATTGGACGAATGTTGATATACTCTCTGCCCTCCGAGGGTTGTGTGCCCGCATCGCACTGAAGGGGGAGACACAACAGGTTGATCGCATGTTGGATGCCTTCTCGAAGCGGTGGTGTGATTGCAACCGCAACCACGCTTTCAAGTCTTCTGGTAAGAGATGATCTTCATATGATGTATCCCCGTCACTGACAGTAGTAGATGTCGTCCACACCATCTGTTATTCTATCCTGCTCCTGAACACCGACTTGCACGTGGCAGACATCGGTCAGAAAATGACGCGAACTCAGTTCATACGCAACACATTGCCGACGATCCGACGCACTGCTTCTGACAGCAAAGTAGATGGCGCTGCTACACTCAGAGCCGGCACTTGGCCTAAGCCCGATCCTTCTGCAAGTACGGGTCATTCACCTTTACCAAGAACATCCACCTTACCAGTTGAGTCACGGGCTGGCAGAAGGTCGGTTGATGAGGCCATTCCTGTCATCGGCTCCGGTCGTTCTACCGAGAAGCTGATGAGAGAAAGCTCGGGCGACGCTGATAGTGCTCCCAACGACCCTGGTCCACTTGTGACAACACCATTCGTGGGATCGATCAGAGCTTGGGAGTCACAAATCGAAAGCGTACTGAAAAGAATCTACACGTCAATTTCTCGGGAACGATTGCCTTTGTTCGGTGCCAAAGCGGAGACGCTTGATATACCCAGCCACTTGCTCAGCATTACTGGTAACATGCTGCGCCGAACTCCCAGCACTTTGAGTAAGGCCGCATCAGACCATTCCAGGGGACGAGGAGGTGAACACCGAGTGGGTACTGGACGATGGGCGTCTAAGCCTCGGGGTCGACCGCATTTGAATCGAGTTTCGACAGTTGGGTCCACACGGACAAGCTTGGACGAGGGCTCCTCGACCTGGAGTCCATCAATGTCCAGCACGTGGAGCAAAGCATCTTTTGGTAAGACGTGGACTTCCATGTCAGTCGGTTCATTCAACTCGGAAGGTCTACATGGCGGCTTCCAGAAATCTGTCGGATTCGCCAATGCTCTGAGCCAGGCCATCATCCGTGAGGGCTCAATCGGGAATATCAATGACCACGAGGAAGGCATGAAGGCTGCACCTCTACTCGACGACGAATCCCTAGAGCTACGTGGTGCACCGTGGGCCAAGGAGGGAAGCGTTAAACACAAACACCATTTGGACGGCGTTGAAAAACGCGCAAAAAGCCGCAATTGGAACGACTGTTTTGCCGTCGTTGAAAAAGGATGGATGCGTCTCTTCTCCTTCTCAGTGAATGCCAAGTCGTTGCGAGTGAAGGCGAAGGATAAGGCTAAAGCTGGAGGGATTGTTGGTGGTGGGAACTGGATGGATAGCGCAGAAGAAGTGGCGAAATTTCTTTTGCGGCAGAGTATCGCAAGTGCTTTGCCCGAACCTGGCTACTCGAAAGTTCGACCACATGTCTGGGCTTTGAGTCTACCCACCGGAGCTGTACATCTGTTCCAAGTTGGCACACCGGATATCGTCAAAGAATTCGTGTCTACTGCGAATTACTGGAGTGCCAGATTGTCCAAAGAGCCCATGATGGGAGGTATCAGCAACATGGAGTATGGCTGGAGTGATGCCGTCGTCAATCGCGCTCTGATCAACAGCGAACCCTGCGCTAGCATACCGGTGAGTGGTTCAAGACCAAGCATGCAATCATCTATTCGAAGCTCGTTCGACCCAGTGGGTGGAACAACACGACCCAAGCTACCAGGTGACAAGGTCACTATCAATGAATGGTGTCCGCCACAGCAGAGTATGATGGCTTCACAGCTGATGGAAGTCGATCAACTTCGAACTCTTCAAACATATGTCAAGAACGTCGAAGAGGAATTGGCCAAGCACAACGAACTGCGTCCAGCCATGCTGCTTGCATTCTCCCCGCGGCATCCGAACAACAACAAGGCGATGGCGAATTGGGAGAAGAAATCAAGCTATCTGCTGCGGGAGATTGTCAAGTTTAAGACCTACGTGGACTCGTTGGTGCTCGCGCAGAAAGAGAAGGAGGGAGTTTCGAAGGTGAAGGTGAAGGCAAAGGATAAGAATTGAGGGTACTTGCGGTAAAAGAAAACGACTTCACGGCCTTCAGAGATATCAGTTCTTTCGATTCATATTCTAGCTATCATTATGGTCATGTAAATAGGGTGATGGAACAGAGCAAGATGCCGGGTTCAGAGGAACTGGGCGCGATGTATATTTGTTCAAAGATACCTGTAACATATATCTCTAATCTACCGCAATGAATCTGCCCAAGGTCTAGCAGATGGCTGCTTTGAGACAGACACATGTTTTGCAAGCAGTGATTGATACAAAGAGCATTTGCCACAATAGTGGGTAACTCGACCTCCCCACGCCAACCTCACTTGTTGATTCCCACGACTGGCGCTAAGCACAGCGTCTGAGGTGGTTGGGCAGCTTGCTTCCGTGACAGTCTTCCACTCGTCTTCTTGAAATCCTGGACACTGTTTTCATCAGCTTCCGCTGTTGGTCTCCGTCACTACCCGAGCCGACGTTGAGGCGAGTCTAGACCGCCCATCGATTCAGGTTGATCTCTGGCTTGGAATTGCTGTTCTCGATTCTGGATATTTTTCCCTACCCACAACATGGCACCTCGAGGGCGTGGTGGAAAGTTCAGCAAGCCGACTCGTGGTGGTAAGCTCTATCTCTCCCATGCCCTACTTACACTCCTGGCCTTCACCTACAAAGACTGAGCCTATCTATTATGCTGTTCGTTACTAACAGACTTCTACAGGCGGCAAGAAATTCTCCCGTGACCTCCAGCCCCTCGACAAAGATGGCAATCCCGTCGGCATGTGGCGCGACCAACAAGAAGCAAAAGAAGAAGAGACGAGCTCCGAAGAAGAAGAAGACGAAGAGTCCTCTGACGAAGACGCCTCTGATGGCCCCTCTTCCAAACTCGCCACAACCCCGCAACAAGAAATGACCCGCGAACAACGCCGCGAAGCCGCCAAACAGAAGAAGCTTGCCGCTATAGCTCGAAAGAACAAGAAAGCTGCGGCTCCAGGTGACATGCCATCATCCGACAGCGAAGATGAGGATGATGCCGGCGAAGAAGATGAAGACGATATGCCCGCCAACCCAAATCATACCGCCAAATCTCGCTCCCAGGCTTCCAAGGTGCCGCAGGCACAAGCGCCAGAGGCTTCATCCACATCGACTCCTGCCCGGTCCAAGAAAGCAGGAGATACAGCGAACCTCTCCCGCCGTGAGCGTGAGGCCCTTCAAGCCCAACAGGCGAAGGAACGCTACCAGAAGCTGCACGCGGAAGGGAAGACGGATGAAGCGCGTGCGGACCTGGAGAGGTTGAGGTTGGTGAGGGAGCAGAGGGAGGCGGCGAATGCGAGGAAGCTGGCGGAGAAGGAGGAGAGGGAAGAGAGGGAGCGCGCCAAGGTTGATGAGCGGGAGAGTAAACTGAGGGCCGCGGCGGTTGGGGATGGGGGTGTTAAGGCGAAGGGGAAGGGGAAGAAATGAGGTGGAGTGAGTGGTTGGCGATTCATTCGGGATCTCACCTCTTGGGTGCGAGATGCTGATGACCAAGTCAGACTGATCGTCTTTATCACAATAACATCATCGTTGCAGCTTCACAGCGTGGTGTACAAGACTTCTATCACCGAGAGTACAAATATGCATATCAGAACGTGCGCCCCTTTCTTTCTGACCAACTAAAAGTCGCAGCCCAACAGCTCAACTATATTCCCTGAACTGATCAGCCTTCAACACGCTTGCCCTTACCCTTGCCAGATACCCAATTTGTCCCAGACACGCATCCCTGCATTTTCCATTTCCCCAGCTCCTCTCAACTCCTCTCGCCCGTCCGCCCAACTTTGACCGCTCGCTCGCTCACCCATCGCAAAGGAAAATCAGATCGCCGCCCCCCCTCCCCCTTCCACATGCGCACTTACTTCACCACTTTGTATCATCCAATCAATTGCATGACGTTATTTTCCAAACTTTCCATTCCTTTCGGAAGGAATGTTGATGATCTCCTGCCTCCTTTCCTTCTTCTCCCATTCTCTCTTTATATATATATATATATATATGTATACATATATAATCCATATCCATATCTACCTGTCGCCCTCCCTCTCTCCTTTAGCGGGTAGCCAGAGGAAGAGCTGGAGCACCCCATCCCTATTTTCGTCCTATCTCATCCTGAAGATCATACTGCATATCGCATATTGCATATTGCATATAGTGGCGGCGGGAAAGCAGCAGAAGAGAGGAGAAGGCGCAGGGAAGGAGGGAGGGGGAGGGTAGGTAGAGGGTAAATGGAAGATCGGATCAGATCACGACTAGTTAATATGTGGTTGGTGATATCAAACATCATATTCTTATTCAAAGACGGGGTCTCTGTGTTTTTTTTGGGGGGGGGGGAGCAGAAAGTCCCGCGGCCCCGGGCGCCTCGGCCTGTCTCGTTCTGGTGGGTGAGCGACGCCGCCCTAAGCTCGCGCGACCTGGGTGAGGGCGGGGTGAGCTGTTGGTGGCGTGTGGGTGCGCAGGGGTGACGCCTCACCCTAGTGATTTAGCTCCGTGGGTGTCCCGTACGTTGTACTACGATCCCTGGCCGAAGGATCCCTAGTGCGGCGCTAGATACAGATATCCCTGTGCGATGTTACAGTGATGTGCGAAATTGGTGTCCTAAACATGCGCGAAGAATCCTTGTCAAGATGACAGGGTTGGTCCACTACGAGTCACGCTTACCTCATAATGGAAATACTCAAAACTTAATACTTGACCAATGACCTCCCTGCAATTATAGAGCTGTAAATACTGTATTTCACGAACACAGCCGCTTCCGTCATTTGAATGTGCTCTTAACCTAATAACCTAGGTGGTGTGAAATGGCCTGCGTAAAGTTTTGCAGACTCAATTAATACTTATTACTTTAGCGCAAATCGCACTACCCTTACTGTACTAAATGGTACATCAGTGACAAGTCTGAAACAGCCGAGTACACTACTCTATATCATAATTACCTACGTGATATATAACGTACCGTCTTATTACATATATTATAGCAAGAAGTTCTAGAGGGGTTTGACATCACGTGCTGTCTAACATATTCTCTGCATTTCCTAATAATAAGTGATTTGTCTGCGCCTGCCTTATTAGTGACCTTATCTCCCAACCCTCTCCACCACCCGTCTACAGTCGCTCCTTTATATAAAGAAACTCAAGGCTGTTCTTCGGGGTGGAAAGAATGAAAAGTATCTGCAGGAGGGAAACGCGTCCTTAATTACAACAAATGTGCACAACAACGAGGTCAGGCAAGGGCCTTTACCGCCAGACATTCCTGCTACGACCTTCCTTAAAGGAATCAGGGAACTTCATCCTTATGATGATGCCGTCGTCAATATCTGCTTTGTGTACAAACTTATAAGGGATAGAGAGAGGACTTAGACGGCTAAGAATTAACAAGTATTATAGCCCTAGCTACTGCTGCCTTATTATTTAAAATATGTACGAATTCTGACTTAAGGCTATAATGCTTACCTAATACATAAAGGGGTCTTATTATTAAATTAATTAATTGATTATGTTATAAACCTTATTAATAACCTTACTACGAATTAAGCTAAGCATAATACGTTGTTACATAGCCTTATCTTTGTAGCCTATAGCCTAGGCAGACTAGTCTGCAAGAAGGCTATTATAACGTTAAGAGATAGTCTAGCATCACACTTAAAAGGAATCTTTATATATATTAAGGGAATTGTATTTATAAGGACACTGCACACCAGCAGCTAGATGGCTAATTAGGCTAAGATCCTTGTTAGATGCTTAGGGATTATAAAATCCACAAATTAATTACTGCTTTTAATACTGCAAACAGAAGATCAGCTTCTTAAATCCTTCTAAATCTTGTTTCTGTTAATAATATATAATCTCTGTAATAATTACTAGCGTCATGTTAAAGTAATATGCTTTTTTAAAGAGCTACTATTGCTGATAATAGGAAAGGTAGTGTTAAAAGCCTTAGCTATATTTGCGGATTATCTTGTTATATTTATCTATAACAACTATAGTGATATAGTCAAGTTCGCTATAATTAAAGATAACGGCTTTAAATAATTAGCTAGCAAGCTTATTTGCTAGGAGCAGGAATTAAGGTAATACTCTGAAGCTATTAATAAAGCTATGTCTATTAACATAAGTAATTATAATATTAGCTTACACATTAACGCTAGTGAATTTATCCCTCAAAAGCCAGCTAGTGCTATTAATCCTGTTAGCAATATTTACTGGACTGTAAAGCATTTTATTAATAACCTTTTTATAAGCTGTAATGTCATCTTGACCACAATCAAAGAGTTACTCTAACGTACCTATTAAGATGTCAATACGATTAGATAACAGAGATTCGTGATTACTAGCATAAGAGGACAGGGTAAAAGCGAGATATGCTTGCAGCTTGCCTATTACGTCTGTTGGCTATAAGTGTACACATTTCAACATTTCGGTTGCTAGTAGCTAACAATATTAAGATTCTGGGGCATCTTCTGGGTTAACGTTAGCAGCGAGATTTTGGCCGAGTCAGGTTTCTTAGAGATTGCCAGTAGACTTCAGATTCTAGCACAGACGTTAGAAGAAGCCCGACAGGGACTTGCGAACGTGCAGCAACCTTGGTTGCTAGTGCTAGATAACGCTAACGATCCCAAGGTTAACTATCAGCGCTATTTCCCGGCCGGGTTGTGAGGCGTGGTGTTGTTAACGTTACAGAACGATGACTGTCATCGGCACGCTATAGAGAAGGCCTTTGCTCTTGACGGACTCTCTGACGATGAGGCTTGAGAACTGTTGCTCAGGACTGCTAGTGTTCTAGAAGCTTAACATTTAACGGTAGAGGGCGATGCCAATGTGGTCGTCTCTCTTCTCAATTCGCACCCGCTCGCCCTGATTTAAGCCGGGTTATACATCTCTCAGGGCTACTGCACATTATCCAAATATCTGCGGGTGTTTGCACAACAGCGGAAGCGGCTGCTCGCATTCCGACTAGCTTAGGCACATTCACGCTATTGAGACGTGTACGCGATATTTGAAGCGTTAGCAGAGGTTCTTAGTGCTTTAGCTAAGATGATACTATTATCATTAATAACAGAATCCGCTAGAGACGCTTTAGAGTTGTTGCTAGTACTAGCTAGTTGCGGGCCTAGTTGATTACCTCTGCTAATATTTGAAGCAGGATAGCAAGGTACTTAAGGGATAGATCTAAATCAAGTTCACAATAATGACGATAATAATGCTTTTGGCTTGACATTATAGTATATCTCTTATCTGCCATTATTTATTTAAGCTGGTGCTAATACATAAGACTCTTTCCGGCTGATTAAAGCTATTTATCTGTGCAAGACGCTCACACTAGTGTTGACTGATACTTACAACGGATGCTTAAGTGTGTTAATACACCCCTTGATATATGCTTAGGCAAAAGATCAGGCAGATATAACAGAGCAGCATAAAGCCTGGCTTGTAACAGGGTGCTTAATGGCTGCCTCTTATAGTGATTATAAACTGTGGCAGCAACGTAGACGATAACTTTAGCCTTACCTCTAAACATTAACATTATAGGATACTAGCAGGATGTTTACTTCTGAGCTGTTAATAAAGATCACAAGCATCTTGGTAGATTATAGATGGCTGCTATATAACATATAAGATGACGCTAGACTCTTTATACTTATGAATAACTTGCTCACTTATCTAGGCTTAGACCGACGGAAGGTGGAAAAGAGGTAGTTAGCAGCTTACGAGCTTACGGCATAGAACCTTGATAATTACAGGAAAGTCAAGGAGGCTGTGTTGCTGCTAGAGCAGGTAATCAAGATCCGGGAGCAGACACTGGCAGAGAATCATCCATCACGACTGGTGTTATAGCATGCACTGGCACGAGTATATAAAGCGAATAGACAGGTCAAGGAGGCGGTGTCGCTGCTAGAGCAGGTGGTCAAGATCTGGGAGCAGACACTAGCGGAGGATTATTTATTACGACTGGCGTCACAGCATAAGCTGGCACAAGCATATTAAGCAAATAGACAGATTAAGGAGGCAGTGTCGCTGCTAAAGCAGGTAGTTAAGATCCAGGAGCAGACACTAGCAGAGGATTATCCATCACGACTAGCGTTACAGCATAAGCTGGCATGAGCATATAAAGCAAATGGACAGGTTAAGGAGGCGGTGTCGCTGCTAGAGTAGGTGGTCAAGATTAAGAAGCAGACATTGGCAGAGGATCATCCATTACAACTGGCATCACAGCATGAGCTGGCAGGAGCATATCAAGTAAATAGACAGGTCAAAGAGGCGGTGTTACTACTAGAGTAGGTAGTCAAGATTAAGGAGCAGACACTGGCAGAGGATTATCCATCATGACTGGCGTTACAGCATGTACTGGCAGAAGCATATAAAGTGAATAGACAAGTTAAAGAGGCGGTGTCGCTGCTAAAGCAGGTGATCAAGATCTAGGAGCAGACACT